ATCCGGACCTCCTGCTTGCCGGTCAGGTGTGCTACCGTTACACCACGGAACTCGGGATGTTATGCCTCTCCATGTCATCTCAATCACTATAGTCATTTGCCGCAGCGAGCACAGTCAGGCTGTACATTTTGATGTAGGGAGGGGGCATTTGTTTCACATTGCTGGCACAATGGAAAAATGCTCCTGCTGCAACTCACACTTTACCGTGAGGCTCTGAAAGTATTTCTCATTGGTGGTAATGTGGCGGCGAGGCATTTTCAGGAATTATTCGCTAGCATTGTGCCGCACATACACTAACTTCCCTCTGTGCCGTCGAACAAGTTCTTGGAAATGGTCCGTACTGTTTCAGAATAATTCGTGTCTGAACCATACGCTAACGCTAATAGCCCATGAGCTACGTAAATATAGGAACGTAAATTTTACGTAAACGTGATGTCATTTTCATGGCAATCTCAAGAAATATACATAGTTTGCAAAGAATTGATATATTGTTTACGTAAACATCCTGCTTGGGGAGGGTTATACAGCAGCTACTTGGCATTGTCCATGACACTCCCTCCTTTGGCAATGTAGCGCTACTGTCTTCCGTCTAAAATTGGCTATTGCATTTTGCATAATGTTGGGTTTAGATAATTCTATTTTGGAGGTGCAATATTAGTCCTAGATTTCCAAACGAAATAATATATTTGTTGCATATTAAATTATTTTCTCTTGATGTACATCAAACAATGGGGTGTGGAAAAGGGGATGATTCATAGCATACGGCATTATACAAAGGAATGGTTTTTCTCCGATCCAGGTGATATAGCAACCTTTCGACTTGGGAAGAGAAAACCCTTATGATTACTTTTAAAAAATTTTTAAATTATCAAATACGTCTCAATCTTAAGAATAATCCATAGCTAGCATATATTTAACGATTGAGGAGATGGAAGAATATTCTCATTTAAGAAATGCAGATGAAGTAATTGAATTCATTTATATGCCCTGTCTTTCATTTTTTTCCTACGAGTTACTAGTCTTACTACCAAGGTCATCTTGACACCGTTCTTCTTCCCTCATGTTTGACTATCACCAAATGAGACACAATGTAATGATGCAACAAATAAAAGGCATCCCAAATGCCTCTATAACGAATAACAGCGAACAGGGGAGTAGGAACAGACTTGAGACGATGAGAGGTTCTCTTGAATGGAGAAGAGGAAAACGTAGAGACATTCGCGTTGCTCCTCTTTGGACGCCTCTCGTGATCCTCCCCATCTAGTCACCCATCTCCCCATATACCTAGTCGTCAGGTTTTTCATAATCTTGAAGCTCTCATTCTTTCCGACCACTGCAAGAGGAGCGAGCACCAATGAGGTCCATGCTCTGTGGTCCATTTCCGATAAAGCCAAAGGGCGAATGGAAAGTAACATTATATGGGCAACTTGCCTTTCCTTTTAAATTTCATGAAAATCATTCCCTACAGTAGTATGTTGTCAAATGATCAGCCAAAGTACCGTGCAACATAGGTGGTTTTCTCCCGTATTCGCGTCAGTTTCTAGTAAGTTGTTTTCGAAAGGGCGGCATAAAGTACCCGATCGATTGCTTGTGAAAATCGTGGTGGTATGCTTTTTTTGAAATGAAATCAATCGCAGGTATGCAAAAAACTTAAATTTGTTATTGTACAATTGCTTTTTAAAAAAAAACAGCCAAGAGGCCCATCGAGGAATTCCAGTAAAAAAAAATAAGAATGAAGGAATTCCCTGCAAAACTTGAGAAAGCGGATCGACTCTTAATGGAATAAAGTCACAAATTAATATAGACAGTGGTCGATACAGTCAACACTTCACCCATGCTCTCTAGAAGCTGTTCCACCTATTCCAGGGAAATAGCTCTTCCTCATGGGAAAATTTGCATAATTGCTGTTCCTCAATCAGCTTCTTAATTTTGCTAACGGAAGGAGCAGCTGTATAGTGAAGAAATTCACATCGGCAATGAATTCATCTTCGAAGAAGCCATCCATGATTTTTTCGTCTTTTTTTTATAATTATTGTCGGATACTCTTTAGCACCCTTTCGAAAAGAAGTTTCAAAAGAATCTGCCAAAAACTATTAGCATTCCGGGGTCTCGAATTGATTACTGGACCATATCCTAAAATGATTCCGACGAACTTAAAAAGTAAAAGCAAAGTAGCCCATATAAAGTCCATTCTTGTGCTCCTTGGTCATCAAGGGCGAGGAAAGAAAATAATTGGATGAGTTCGTAACATTTCCTATCTTTCCCCTGATAACTTGGGGATTTCCGAATAGCATGCCACCTTTTAACATTTTTTTACGACGGCATCTAATTAGGTAGCAGTATAGTGCACCTCATCTTAAAGGAGAAAGTAACGAATTTTCCCATTAAAAACATTTAGTAATTATATTTTCCCATTAGTATCAAGTGATGGGTTAAGGACACCTAATACGAGAAGACCGATGAACGAGGGATTGCATTGAACAGAAACAGCGCCCTTCTTTCGGAGAAGAATTTAGCTTCAGGTAGTAGTCTCTTCTTGCTTCATCAACAGTATGAATCCGAAAACTCTTTCGTACCAATACCTGTGTGATGAAGATCGTCCGCATTCCTTCCAAGAACGGTTTCTCAAAAAATATTAATTTCCTCATGAGAATGTAGTAATTGCAAACCATCTATCTCTATCCGCCCTGGGTGTACAGAAAGTAGATGACAAATGGATTGGAGGTGGACTTGGAACCAGTTGGAATTCCTCCTACTTTTATTTAAAACCAGGTAGATGTCATTCCCCATGAATTGAATTGGTATCTCGGTAAACTCCCAGCAGGTGGAAGGCCACAAAGAGGGACGTTCACCTGGTTCCGAATCCACCAGGGCGCGGAAGTCTTGTAATGGATTCACTATGCCTATCACTTCTTCTTCGGAATGCAATCAAATTAAATGTATCATCAATTGAAGCAGTGCATTGCATTGGGTGAATGGTATCAATAAAAGCTTCAACTCAACCTGGATGCTGAAGGCCATTGATGAAGGTTATACAGAAACGTCGATGGTAATTGAGTAGACCATCGACAAGAACCTCCAATCCAGCTCCATTTCCCGTTTCCCCTTTCAGCAACAAGCCCAAGTAGCACAGTATAAAATGTATTAACAGCTCTCTCATACCCATTCCGAATACCCATGCAAAATCCGGGAAGGTTCTGGAACTCCTGAAAGCGAAGCGGTTATGAACCTAATCAGTCCATCCAGGCCATGTTATGAAGTCTTCTCCGAGGAGTGTGAATAATCGATCGAAATAAGCCGGACAAACACTATAATTTGATGACCGAATCCTACGAGTTTTTCTTGATGACTCCAAGCCCATTCATAATCTCATTAGGCATTCCTTCCTTTCCAGATGAAAGCCATTCGTCAGTCCAGGGTTAATTACTCAACGTCTAGATGCCCAACAAGCATTATTTGTCCTTGTCTACGCTAGTTATTATCGAAATATCAGCAATTTACGTGTTCATTCGTGACGTTGATCGCAAGCAGCTGAAGTTGATCAAAGAAAAAAGGTCTCAGAAATCCCGTTGATAACCCGGAAAGTATCCAAGATGAAGGTGCTTCAAGTTATAATGATGCCAAAATGATGGCAATACCCAGAATTACTTGGACGTTAGGAAGGAAAGCGCCTCATTGGGCTTCAAGTCAGCATATTTGAGACAGAATCGGGATTAAGACGGCCATCGGTGTTCGGCCTTGGAACGAAAGTTCCTCTCCTCGCTTTATGTTCGCCAAGTTGAACGAAGTGGCTGGTCTAGAAGCACTTAGTTCGTTTTGTGCGCTTTCAGACCCATCTTTAAATGATTTGCAATAGTCGAATACGGATGTCCTCAACAGACAGTTATCACAATACTATGCAAGAAATTGTGTACAAATTTATGATTCGCTGTTCCATTTTCTCTGTCATCTCAATTGCCGCTATCTGGATTTTCAGCACATGTTTTCATGCAGGAAACACCCAATTGATTGATTGTTAAGAAATAGGAGACATGGTTTCCGCTATGAACCTGAATCCCCTTCTCCTCCCATTAGACGGAAACTCTGTTTCCGATGATTTAGTTAGAAGTTCTTCTTAACAGTGAACGGAAGAACATCTCGCTCATTCCGCTTCGAGAATAATATTGTCCCTAACATCCAGGCCTTGAAGAGGGATGCAATCGAATTTCCCTCATATCCCTCTTCCGTTCCATGAAAGACCACGGAGCAATTGGATGCAGAGAAAACCAGGAACATTTCGTAAAAGCCGATCATTATGCGACGTAACGATCACTGTAATAAAAAAAAGCAGCCATATACTAGAACATGTTGCTGAAAGCAGGTCGGCGGCACTTTCATGGTGGAAATAATGCATGATTCTCCTTGACTACTGCTTTGTTTTGCATGGCAACAGTATGGCAAATGAAACGCAGTTTCCTCAAATTTAACCTATCAGCCAGAAACCTTATAAAAATGTCAGAGAATGTTTGTAAAGTTTCATTTGAAAGTCTGGTGAAGCCTTTGACCAGAGCAATACTTCGCATTTCACGAAATTACGGAGCGAAAGATCTTTATCTACATTCCTTGTGATTTTCCCAATTCCATGAAAACGAGTTGGTGCGACTATGCGACGGGATCATAGAAGCGGAAAATTTTATTCGAATCTTTACTCGCTTCACTCGAAGGTCTTTTGACTTATGCCTTAGATCTGCTGTAAAGTAGGTCGACTGTGATAATGCAAGTGCGGCGTAATGTTATCGCCTTCGTAGGCCGAGTTATCGCAGGTAGGCAGGCCTGGAACTTGAAGCCCGCTCAAAAAACTGGGGACTTCCACCCATGAAAGTAAGAGTTACCACGTGACGCCATCACGGCTATAAAACTCCCTCCTGAATTATCAGGCCTCCAATACCATGACTGACTTCCATTGTGTTCACGACACCACGAAACCGGGAAAGTAAATTATGAAAATCCCATTGCCGTAAATGGAGAAGAGTCGCCATGATACCAACTACATTCCGTTGTGCCCCACATCCAGTTCTGTTTGCTTCATTCAGGTCGTAAGTGCTACCACGACTCGATTTCGTGACGTCATTCGCCTGTGGCCAATCAGACGAAGACTCTGCTGTGTCATTGTATTATTTCGAAGTTAGCAGACGGGTCGCAGCGGTCGGAAATGCGCCCGATTGGGACCGTCGTTTCGACGTTTCGACCTGATCTCCGAGCACCTGTTCCAAGTATTAGCGAGTTCGAATGAATCTGTCCAGATTTAGATATTCGATGTGTCCTGGAACCTCAATGGAGCTAAAATGGTCGGTATTGTACTCATAGGGGCAGCAGCATGGGAATCCGTCCTGTTTCTTGGAGGAAAGCCTTATAAGATCACTCGTGCCATTCGTAGACCAAGGCGATCCGTGAGCTATCCAATTCAGCACAACAACGTGGTCTCAACAATGAGAAAAGGTTGAAGCGTTGAAACTTGGTTCAAGTTGAGAATTTGACGAAGAATCAACATCGATGAAACGCTAGCTATTCGGAATTAATGCGTAATTCGTATTTTCGGCATTTGGAGACTTCTTTTCCATCATCGTTTCGCGTTGTTTCTACGTGGAGTTTTCCACAGCATATCAACCGAATATAGGTTCTACGAAACGATACGAGGTGAAACCTCACCGCCGATTCAACGATTCCGACACTGGTGCCCTGAAATAATCAGTACCTAGTATTTTCTTACAGAACCCGATTTATTCCCATGTACAACATAAGGGGAAGCTTAGGAATTTCTAGATTGACCTGCTCATGGCGGTAACCCAGCACAAGGAGACTCGGAGTACTTCTAGCTAGTGGGTCCAAGGAAACATCCTCAATTTTCATGCACGCACTCAGGTTCTTCCATAGAGGATGGAGCGTTGAAACATGGCTGCGGGGTTGTTTCCCTCTATTTGACAGAGAGAGTTGAGTCATGTAAGTACTCGATTCGAATTCTGATTTGGTAAAGGAAATGAGGTTTAGAGAGTTCTTTACGCGAGATTGAATAGAGGGCTGCGTGTATCATGTCACTTGGGCACCCTCAGTGGGGTTAACGAATCTATATTCAATCTCATTGACTAAGTGATGTTCTTCTAACCTCTGGATGAGGTACTATAATGCCCGTACGTTGGCAATTCGACATTGACACAACGTTGCACAGCGGAAACTGTTCTACGTTTAACTGTGTTTCATTTCAACCTTCTTTCAACATCGAGACAACATTGCTACGTTGAAAAATCAACTTTCTCTCAACGTCGACACAACGTTTTTGTGCCGGATGGGATCCCTAAGGTCTTCTCAACGACCAAGGAGGGAAATCCCTGCCTGAGGGGTCGTCTTCTCATTTTGTGCATTTCCCGATCAGACAGCCTCATTTTCTCACGAATCGTCATGGGTCCTTCGTCTTATGTGTCCGCCACTCGTCCCGTCGTTTTCATTTATTTTCATTTAAATAAAATAGCGGCCTGCGGCCGCTACGCTGGCCGTCTAATAGGTGGAAATTTGAATCATCTATTGTGAGCATAACGTCTCCTTGGCAATCTTCTGTGCGCATTACCCATTCGGAAATGAACCGCTTCATTTCATTTATACACATATAGCTTACAGTACACAAGGAGATTCTGTTCCTAAACACCATTATCATGATATTCCAGCTATTTGCCACAATCGCAATTGTGAACGCCTCGGTTTAGCGCGTTTTCTTGAGACTCAAGACGAATTTGCTGATTTCCTCGCATATTCAATACTATTGCATCACCGATTAGCTCATGGGCTATTAGCGTTAGCGTATGGTTCAGACACGAATTATTCTGAAACAGTACGGACCATTTCCAAGAACTTGTTCGACGGCACAGAGGGAAGTTAGTGTATGTGCGGCACAATGCTAGCGCTTTTTATTACAGCAGTGCACGGGATTAGGGAAGAGTAGAATCCCAGCTCCATGTTAGCCAATATGAACATGATACAGCCATGTGGCTCACGAAAAGAAAATGAAGTCAAGCTATAAAAGGACGCCCAACTTGTCCTCGATATTCTTTCATCATACTGTAAGGATTGGAGAATTTCCATGAATCCTTCCAAATCGTCATACCTTTACGTGCCTAGAAGCCTATCCAGAGACACCTACAACTTTAGGCTTTGGATGAATGGGGACCTCATCCCCGTTGCTTCCACCAGCAAATTTCTAGCTATCACTTTCCACAAACACCTCCGTTGGTCCCCCCACGCGCAGATGCTACGTCAAAAGGCAGTTCGTAAATTGAATTGCCTGAAGTTGCTCTCGCGTGTCAACGGTTGTGAGCCCAACGTCATCATGCGCCTGTATAAGGCTTACATCCGTCCTATTTTACCGTACGGATTTGCGGACTGGGCCAATGTCCCCGATTCCATCTTGGACACACTTGCACGCATCGAACGAGCTGCGATTAAGTTCGCGTACAGAATCCCACCCCACTACCCCTCTGATTACATATATAGGGTCAGTGGTCTTACACCTCTTGACGTGTACGCCTCAGATCTAGCTCTCTCCTTCTATGAGAAGGACACTTGCCATGAAGACGTACACGAATACCTGACAACATACGGCAGATAGCACAAAGGACGACGACGATCGTTCAGAGCTGAATATCCCATCTTCAGCATACGCCGCCGAATCGCCAGTTGGGAAGATTATATCGCTAACGCACTCGATGATCTCCCAAATGACTCAACTACTCAGCCATGCTCCCCCAAATCCTCACCTATCCTTTGACCATTTCTTTATTCCCCTGGGCGCCTTTTAGGTCATTTCCAATCCCTTACTCTTCAACTCATCAAGCCCTCTAGATACCCAAAAAAGGGGACTCTGATCTCATCCACCCCTTCTTACATCTATGTAGCCACAACTGTCCTAATCGCTTCCATCCCCCACCAATCAAGGCAGCTCAGCGTCAATCGCAGGATCTCTCTATTTAGCTAGTCTGCCTTATTAAGCAGCTATCCTCTCTATTTGTCGGGACAAGCAGGGAGCTTGTTTTTCCTAACAGCTGACACCTGTCAATCCCAAGTAGCTTAGGGGGGCACCTGATAGGTACCTAAAACGTATGTAAATGCTATTACTAAATGGATATGATTTAATAATCTTTAAAAGTGGTCATAAAATAGCCCCAACGTGTTATCATTCTTTAAAAGTTAAACGAATGTCTCATCCTTTTCTAGGCTGCTATTGCAACTGTCCTAACTAATGAGTAATCTGTAACACAGCCGGGAGAAACCGCGGTCTCCGACCGGGACAATGGGGACCAATCCCATTGTCTAAATCAGCTTCGAGGGGGTCTTGCACCTGCCAGCCCGCTCGCAGGAGGGTTTCGCCGGGACTGGCGGGACCTCTGATGTACCCACCATCAGGGAGAGGGGCCAGTCTAGTCCGTCCATTACCTCCTATTCTTAAAAAAAAAAGCTCCACAAGTACTAAATCTGCTCTATCCCAAATGGAAGAGTGCTCTTCCAAAAATCTACTTCTCCCGAGATTCCGGTACGGGAAGAGGAAGCGGTAGGTCATTTCTGTACTCTTGAGTGCTGATCAGGATGAGTGTACTCGTCCAACCACCCTTGAGTTTGGGGAGATACAGTCTATCAATTCTTTTCAAAGGTGGTGATTGGCTCGTTAAAGACACATGCATGCTAGGGGGAAATTAACATAAATCTTACGTAAAATGAACGTAAACATGCGGTTGGGAATGCAAACGGGCATGTCAATTTTACGTAAATTGACGTTAATTTTATATCACCGTTTACGTATCACAGAGATGACATTTATGCAAACATGTTGACACTATCTTGACAATGGTTTGCGTAAAATGTATATAAAATGGACAAAAAAATTGCATTCATTTTACGTAAAATTAACATGAACATGCTATTTGGGTCGTGATGAGAGTTAAAATATATTGGGAACTGTTTGCTTCAAATTCTTCTGGAAATCAATAATCCTGGGGGTATGATAGCGACTTCATTTAGATGTTGGTCGAGGGAGTCTGTTGCTGAATTTTTCATCTAAGTCTGAAGGTTGTCGAAATCATATGGGTGGATCCAGAGATAAAAAATCATGAACATAATGAATCTGAATTTGTGCCATTAATTCACTGAACTGGATCCATCACCTTCGTCTCACTATAGGAATGGTTCCAGGGATCATTCCAAAACAACAACAATTGGTATTTCCTCTCCGATTCTCGAGATTCCGAGGTGGCCCTCGTCTCTCAATTGAAGGAAATTCCGATCTACATTGATTCCAGCATCTTTATAATTCGACGAGATGAATTTGAGGCTGGTAATGGCTCGGTGCCCATCCACGAGGCTTACAGGAAAGGGCCGGACCTGCCCCTCATTTATCAACGGGCAAGTTATATCAATTGGATGAATAAATTCACCTCATCCGTTTTGATCAAAAAGGCTCACGTTCATCATCGTAAACCTAGGTTGCCGTTTGGGACGGGCAGGTGAAAGCCGTCATGGAGCCAAACAAGTACGAGAGGCGAAAAGATCTCACCGGAGTGAATTTCAAAGTTCTCTTTCGTGCGGTAAGGGCATTTCTTACGTCCTTTCACTTGCCAAACAGGAACAATATGTCTACTGTAAAGTTATGATGCTCTCAGTCCACTTTGTCAATTGAGCTGCTGCCGCAGTGCCATTTGATGGCATGGGGGTAAAATGGATATAATTTTGAAATGGATTTTTCTGTTTCCTCCTGTATTAATTTTTGCTCCAAAATCATAAACAACTCTAAAGGAGAAATTAGAGATACGATAACCTCTTTATTTTCCTACTTTGAATTCCAACGGCACGAAAGGAATTCTTCCTTTATCGATAGCGGTAAATTCGCTTTATATCAATATAATGCGAAAGAGGAGAACAATGTTTGGGCATACGTGTACTGAGGAAAATGAAAAGAACTAGAACCCCTTCACCACAGTGTACAATTAAACATGATGAGAAAGAAGTTTTGGAATGGATAAGAAAAAGATATACTGAGAATCAACAGAAATGTTGAAACAAAATTTGGAAATTTGTGATTATTTTTAAAATTATTTATTACGCGGTGATAGGAGTTGGAAAACGTATAAATTGTCTTTCATTTCAGTTCACCTAAATGTTCAATCTATAATGCTTCAATTTCATTCGGGAAAGTTTTCTTTCAGACGGATGGTTCTTGCTCATGTAATAGCATTAAATGTAACATATTTTCCTCGATAAAAGAAATTCAATAGAATTCGATTCAATAGAAGCCTCAGTACCATTTATAGAGGCTATTCCTGAACAGGGTTTTTCCAAGGGTTTTCCTAGCAAACTATTTGTAAACAACTGCAATATACCCAACTAAATCTACTTCACTATATTATCGATATCCGTATGTCATAAAGGTTCTTAGTTCCCTTCCATTTTAAACCTCCTTTTCAAGAGCGTACCATTCGTTGTGTTCCTGGAAATGGATGGAGTGGGAGGAATATTTGGAGAGACCTGGAAAGCCTTGCAAAGCACCTTGAATTTCTCGTGAGTTCCACCTTCCTGAGAGTCCTCTGCGATGGTCCTCGTACGCAAGAGCTTTCTCATATTTATCCTCCCCGAAAAGGCTTTAGTTTGCAAGAAAATAATAGGAGGAAACGAAGGTGAATTCCTTGCAAGTGGCGATATTGAATTCCCATGTGGCATACCAACATTGAAAAGAAGTTGAATATATGTAGATACATCGACCTGTAAACGCTGAGAGTTTACGTAGACTTCACACGGATATGGGAATATTATCTCCGAGGATTAAAAGGAGATTTTGCAAATCTCTGGCTTTTTGCAAAGACTCTTCCCCTCGTTGAGATTTGCAAGATATACAATTCAACAAAAGATTTCTCCAACACGATTCATATATTCTTTCAGCCATTTCATATAATTACCCATGTCAATATTTCCAGAATGTCAACATGAGCTACAGCCAAAGAAACCACATTTTGCTTATAGTGCAGGATTTATCAGATGATCACTCCTCATGTAGCTCAAGCTCCTGACATATTCTTTAAGCATTAGTCACAAGCGCAAAAGTAAGAAAATAAATTTATTTAATTAAGACATTCTCAAATCCAGAGATAAAATATTCCTGGAGGACTTGTCGAATGCGATATGCACAGTAGGTAAGTGCGTAGCTGTTACTCTTTTATTATGAGCATATGTGGGCTGGTCAAAGAGTTCCCGGAAAAAGTGACTTCTTATTATCAAATCCCCACGATTTTTTCACTGCGTATTCTAATGTATCTTAGTAGTTCTCCCTTTTAATTTCAGATCCTTGCGTTAAAATGGAGACTCGCAAGCGCGCGCGAAGTGAAACGAGTCAGAGGGTCTTGCCACCCTTGACGAGCCGTGACGGCTATATCACGTATTGAGGATCTGTACACTATCATAGAAAACTAGCAAGCCATTCTGGATTACTTAAATTGATAATGGAGAGCTACAAGTATTTAATCTTAACTTCGCTTTGTCCAATCAGCTCTTCTGATTAAAATAACTCTGCACCTCAATATGAAGAGGAAGACCTAAAATACTCTAATGCTAGTTGAGTGGGCCAATAATCCCATTATATTGGACGATCCTTGAGTAAGTGATGGCTCCTCTCTCTTGAAAAATGCATTTAAAATAAAACTGAAACAATTCATGCACAAATTCCAGTGCTAGGAAATTTCAGCGTATCTACATAGTTTTTAGAAGAGCAACATAATTTTTTAGAATTAAAACTCCACTCTTCTCAAGGAGTTGGATGAGAATCCTAAAAACATTTCACCAGAAACTAACACAGGATCATAGCAAGTCAAACAGTTTGCTTTCTGTAAACCACGCTGTATCTGGGCAGAAGGGCAAGCCCTCGACCAGCTATAGCCCGTCAACCAAGAGAACCCTCTGACAGGCATCTTGAAACTATTGTAAAATGCCAGGCAAATAAGGAGGAGTTCTGGCGGAAGAAGGCTATGAATGGAAAGAAAGTGAAGCTCTAGGCTAGATTTTTGACGCTGTTCGACCGGTATCGTCATGGGTGTGTACGGCCGACTAAGAACATCAATAGCTTTTGCAACCTGTTTCTGCAGTCAATATCCCAGGAATATTATATTGAACTTGGAAGTACTACACATTCCAAGGACCATCCAAACTGAAGTCTCTCTGCACATGCCATCGTCTGATAATGATTGGCTCAAAATATCTCACGACTAAGTTACTCGAACTAACAAAACCAGGCCAAGCGGCCAACAGACGACGTTCGGCATGTACAGAGAGACGATGCCCAAGTTGTCCCTTGGGAATTGATTATATGGCTCCCCTCACCAGGGACATCATTTCCCTGGCCATCGACATTCCCACCCAAGTTTCACATGGAATCGACATATCTGTGCCCCACGGGTTAGGGATGTACCTCGTATATAACATGCAATAGGCGCCAAATCAGTGTCAATGACATAAAATGCTTTTGCCCTCCTTCGTGCATGCATCAAAGCATGATATAGAGTGGAATGGAATACAAAGAACATTCCAGAAAAATGCAAGGTGCTATATATTTTTTCGATATTAATGTGGTGTGCTTGGCGCGAACCGAAATATGACGACTTTATGAAATACTTATCATTTCTTCTATGTCGAGCGAAGGTGCACTGACATTGGGATGAGACACTTGGCGATTAACATGGGAAAGTTCAATGAAACAACTCGAAAATACACTGGATTATTCGGAATGCTTCAGAGAAAAGAAGTCGACGTCGTCGTTTCTTCTTTCACCATCACCAAAACGAGATCTTTATACATGAACTTTCTCCAGCCCATCCACGACTATTCGTGAGATCTGATTTTCCTCATCTTTGATGCTCGCAAACGGAAAATGAAATGTGAATAGATTTACGCATACCTGTAACAGCCCTCGGATCTTCATGGCGAAGAGGCAGGCTACTTCTACGAGGATGGCCTACTTGAAGCCCTTCTCCTGGTCACTTTGGCTCACAACATTTGCAGCAATCATCGCCTTCACTGTTATCCTGTGGTTTCTGAATCGAAAAGCAAGAGATCTACAACCTCTCAATTTCCAGGATCATCAATTGCTTGATCCCATAACCAAGTGGCTCTATGTATGGGGTATTTTCTGCCAACAAGGTATCATAATACCGTCCGTTGGAGTATGTTTGCGTTAATATACATATTCAACGTCTTTGTTCTCTCCGTTCACTATTACATAGGAGTCATTGGAGAGCCAAAGCACCGGTTACCCAGAGCTGTTTCTTTCCTGAGCGTCGTAGTAAGCTTACTCATTGCTACAGCCTATTCCGCGGTTCTGACATCCTTCTTGGCCGTGGAAGTATTTTCACTCCCGTTTGAGAAATGGCAAGACATCCTGAACGTCGCCTCCTCTTAGAAACTTGGAATCATGAAGGAATCCTCGGATTTGGACATGTTCTTCGACGCATACAACGTCAGTCATTGGCAAAAAAAAAATATTTGAAGATTGGGTTTAAAAAAGAAAAAGAAAATAAGGACTGGAAAGAAAGAGGTATACTATGGGCTAGAATTCAAAAGCAGCCAAAGTTGATCGAGCAAGGTCCACTGTCTCTTCACGATGGCGCTGGTCCTCATAGGGCACGTATAATTGTTACACAACTAGCAGAATGGGACTGGGAATTGCTGACTAACCCTTATTATTCACTAGACCTCCCTCCCCCAGACTTCCATCTATTCCTAACACTCGAAGAACAGCTTCGTGGCATCCACTAGCCTCCCTCTGGATGTACAGTACACGTCTCCGTCTCTTGGCTCGTATTTTTTTCCTGTCGTTGCGACTGTTGGTTCTATTCTCGAGAAAGTAATAGGCGACGGGGGGGGGGAAGTTCGGATGACATAAGAGGACTAAAAGAAATTCATGGAAAGGATTCGAACCCAGGATCTCCTGTTTACCGGTCGAGTGCATTACCACTGCATCATCGGAGCCATGTTACTCATTTGAACCTCTCCATGTCATCCCTAACCTTACAACGGGAGGGAGAGGCATTCTACGCACTTCCCCCTCTCCCTATTTAGGGTTGTCCGAAACGGACTTTTCCGCAGATACATGTAAAACGTTCTCGCGTGTTACACTTGGATTCCCCTTTCATTTCTGGAGGAAGGATGACTTCCTCGCCGGTATGAGATCTCCGCCCATATATTTCTCGGGATCCCGACCCCCATATCAGCTGGAATCCCGTCCTCTTATCGATCGGCACTCACAGGGAGAGCGACTCCCGAGGGTGAAAACGGCCGCATCCCACCTGTATGAAACAGGAGTGCTTACTCGTGGATAGGACAGTACAACGTCGGGGGCGTCGTAACAATGCGGTTTCTCTACAGGGTGACACAAAAGTTCTGTACACTTTAAAAAACTGTTCTCTATTCTAAGCTACCACGTTCATATATGCTTGGCTTGGTTTCTACACGTAGCTTAAGGTACGCGCGACTTAGGGGATTCTCAAAGTGCTGATGAAACTATCAGATGCCGCAGTCGATGCATTCCGAAAGAGACTTCGCGATTGTGTTACAACAAAAGGTGGTCATTTTGAATGAATTTGCGGGCATTATCTGTTGAAATGGTTGTGGTTTCTAATAGCGTTGTCCCCATTTGTGAGTTCTTTAAAAATGGTTATAAAAAGTTGAGATAACCGAGTGTACAGAACATTTGTGTCACCCTGTATACCTGCGGCGAGTTGCGATGTGAGTAGCGTGAGGCCCCCAATAAAATCTCACATACCACATTGTCCTATATGGCGGCGATTTACGGTAATGCCTTGATCTTTGGGTTGCCCTTCGTCTTCGCTCGGCTTCCGTTCTCTGTCATTCGCAATGGTGATTAACGAAGAGCAGAGGCAGACCGATAAATTAGGGGTGCTTTTGCCGCGTCCTGTCTTCTCACATGGCCAGCCAGGGGGCAGGGGGGGGGAGTGTGGCCACAGCCTCTCGTGGCCTTGTGCGCATTCCTTGCCTTCAAATACTTCCGTGTTTTTTCACGGGCAACCTACTAGTGATAATGAAATTGAGTACTGACGATGGCTACTCTTGCTTCATGAGGGAAATTTTTTTTTGATGGGCTATGGTAACGTTCTGAAACGAATGATCGGTAATGCGCAGTTCTCTATGACAGGATCTTTAGAGTCTTTTTCAGTCCCAACCCGATTACTTCATGGAATCACCATGTGGATTTGCTTTTATAAACTGCTTCTTTTTTGACATAGGAATACGTAGGAAGAGCCTGTCAGGTCACCGAGTCGGATAGACGGCCGAGGAGAAAGAAAGCTAATAAATGAATGTACCATAATGGGACCAGGAAAGACAGTCAACTACATTTGACTTAGTCAAACTTGAGTCTTAGTCAAACTTAGAGTCAAATTGATTCGACATCAACGTGAAACTTTAATGGAAACGCACTAAGTCTTACAGGGCGTCCGACAATTCCTTGGAAAAGCGCTGGTGGTGGTGGTGGTGTTGGGGGGGGGGGGGGGGGGGGGGGGGGAGCTACGCCAATCGATGGGGGAAATGCACACCCCGCCCATTCACGTTTGGAGACCAAACATCGATGTAATTTGGTTGAAAAAAGCTGTTTGTACTTCTGATTACGTTGAAATATATAGCGTGGAGGGGGGGGGGGGGGGGGGGGGGGGGGGGGGGGGGGGGAAGGTATATGGGGACGAGTGAGGATAACACAAAAGGAGTTCAATAAGTCGAAGTCAACCTCGCCTAAATGAACCTAATTGAATCCTAAATGAAAAAGCTGTGATAGTCGAATGAGTCGGAGTAGGAATGAGGAAGAGCAACTTACCTCTTAATGTAATATTTGCTAGACACACTATCTTCTTGACATATTTCTTGCAATCAAATCACCATGGAAATGATGAATAAGAAAATACATCATTCCTAGATTATTTCGTTTCCTCGTTTAGGCTCCCTTCGGTCGGACTTCTGACTTGGGTCAGATATACGAGAAGCTGGAACTCAACAAGTCTGAAAACATGTTCGGCCCGTATGAGGACGGGATGCAGAGAACACTCAAGGAACACAATTATGCGATTGTTGGGCCAGTTGAAAGCGTGTTGGTCTCGAACCACTCGTGTCATCTGGTAACTATCACCGGGAGACTCGCCTCCCAACGCCTTTCCATTGCTCTCACGAAGAACTCCATTTATACAAACCTCTTCAATCATTTGTAAGTAACTATGTTTTAGTCACGTCGCGCCGCAGTTCATTTGCATTCTTGCTCTATTTTGGCAGCATCGCAAGGTTTCACGAAAACGGCATCCTGGAAAGGATCAAGGCCCGATGGATCACAAAGAGAAAGGGAACTTGCAACGAATTCAACTATTATAAAGAGGCTACATTCTCTGATATTCAATCCTTGATTGTATTTTTATTCATGTCCATGATTTCAGCCTGCATCATTCTATTTCTCGAGCATATACATTTTTCTCTGAAGAAATAAAAGCCAGAGTATGGCTCTGAAATGATGAAAAATAATTCAAATTTTCGGATTGCTAGACTTGTATTGTGGTTCATCCCTTCGGGGGGGGGGGGGGGGGGGGGGGACTGAAGAGAGAATGCGATTCCTAATATCATGGAATCACTATACTCAGCATAGGGGAGCGTGGGGCACCATAGGTCACTTTTGTGGGCCTGCAACTTAGGCATCTTTATTCTTCTGAATCAATGGAAGACCATGCGTGTAAAGACTCACATCAACTGCGCAATTCTCTGTTTCAAAGATTTTAAACTACACGTTTTGATGGATAGTCATATTTTAAAATGGGGCAACATGGGTCAGTCCTGGGGTACAATGAGCCGTCTCCATGGTCATCGCTACAATGATGTCCATTTGACCCAAAGGCAGCATATACATTAGTAATTACACCACAGAAGGAGAAGCTCTTGGATACTGATACACTAAAACCACAGTTATATCGAAAAGTAGAAACTTCAAGAAGAAAATAAGATGCGTTTCACGTTCAGAAACATCACATCTGCTGGTGTTGAACATTTCAGAGCCTTGCGCTTCTAACTATGCGTTATCAGGTCGGAAAAAAAAGCGAAGGAAATCCTGATCGACATTAACATTTATCAGAAAGCATTTAAGGCGCTGAGTTATGGCCTATGTGCCCCAAATATTGTCCTCCCTTCGTGTTCCAACATGAGACATATTAATGAAACCGGGATTACGACCAAAGTGAGTTGAGGTTGTAGCTCATACGTGCAGGCATTAAACAACCGATTTTACGAATTCAATTCCTGGAAGAATGAAGACTTTACATCAAAAGGGACAAACAGCAAAAATCGTGACGTCACCGTCAGCAAAAATGAAGTGTCTTCTGCAAGGAAAGGTCTGCACAATTTACATTTTCGATGGGGACTACTAGTTTTTCAACTACAATTTCCAGGCACCTAAGTTGGAAGATATAAAGAACACGACATGAAGGGAACTAGAACTAGGAGAGCTATAAACAGCCTGACCCATAGTACCCCTTGACACATGATGCCCCCCTCTCCCCTGTCTGGAAAACTCTATGTCACGGTGCTAGAAAAGAAAGCTTGTGCAGTCACTGGGGAGGCCATCGGAGTGGAGCAGTGCTGATTTCACGAAGGGTGTAGCACCCCGGACCAGCTATTCACTCTACTTAGATTCTCCAGAGACATTGGGTATATGCCAAATAGGTTTAAGAGTACTAGTGGATCTCGAATCTCGAAAAAGCGTACGACCGTAAAAAGCGTTCGAGGGAAGCTGTTCAATTATTGAGGATATTGAATCTGAGATACTTCATATAACAATGACATCATTTTCCAATAGTATTATGAATTACCTTAAATACAAGTAGGCAAAATACCAGTGAGGCACGCCATTCAGGACCAAGTGTCTAGGATCACCATGCAAAAATCTAACCAGAGAAATATGGAGTACAGCATGAGCATACTCGAATGATGAAATTTCCCTGGAAAACAATCGGGTACTTCCTCCCTTCGCTTTCGTATTCAGGACATTCTGTTTGTGCTGTTAGTTTTTGTGAAGCAAACACAAGAACATGATACGAGGTAAATGTGTCAGGAACTAATTATTTAAAGGCAGTTTTTGACTAAAGCAGCCTGATACTTCGCAATTATGATTTTAAAAGAGATAGAAATTTAGAGACTTAAAGAAGCACAAAAGGTCAGCAATAAGTATGATGCACACTCAAAATAAGAATTTCAGCCTTAAAAATTCAAATCTGAACCTTCGTCGTGGATTTGATGAATCAAGAAGAGGACTCAAACCTGACGGTATCCAGCTGTAAGCATGGCATGGCGAAATTAGGAAATATTCGTCTCAGTATCCTCATTTTAGAGCTTCCCACGGAACATCGATGAATTTCATCAACTCCATCCTGTATCAATTATGGCTTCTCAAAACTTACCATGGACTTTTTCCTTTGCTGTATCCTGATTATTCTTTTAATATATAGCCATGATTTACAATCAATGTATTATCTGGAGCGAGTTTATTAATTATGTCAAGCCGGTTGTCGTAATGATCACCTACGGTGTTAACTTTTATTTATTTTTGGTATACTGCATCAGCTTGCAATCAGCATGCAATCAGCGTCATGAAGCACAAAATGATTGACATTTAACTTGGAAAGGAATTAGGCGAAGACGAAATATTGCTCATTGGGTTGGTGGACAGTGAGAGATTGACTTTCTACATCGAGAAATTGCCTTTGCCTGGGAAGGGGAGGGTGTCTGATGAGCCTGAGGAAATTGCCTGCATGTATTGGAAGCTAGCAAAATACAACTCACAGGACTCGAGCGCAGTCATTGTCGTGAATCTTATGCATTCCCCAATCTAATACTCACACCCTGAGTAAAGTAGGAGATAGAGAAATGCGCCGTATTGACGGAGGCCCATTACTTTCCTAGTTCCACCAGTCTCCCATTCCTCCGGTATTTCCTGCGGTGATTTGCCGATAGAATGAATGAGAGGAAGATTCCTTTATTTTTGTACTACCTGTGCTGGATTCTAAGAGGAAATGAAGTAAACGGATTGGAGTTACTCATCGACAGCCTTCTCACATATCATCGGTACTCCTGCGTCATATTCATCAACGGTCTTCAGCAACCAGGTTAGGTGCAAGCTGATTGGCATCAGCAACACCTCACTTTCGTATAATATATCAATTGAAATTCAAATCTAATCTTATTACATGAACAGAGAGAAAGTTCATAACATAACACATTGATCCTCGGGAGCCAAAATGAAAAATTAGGATAGCAAGTAAAGTAGCATATATTCCTTTTTGTCTCGCAGCCATTCATGATAAGAAACCTCGCGGTTATATGAAAAATATCCGTCAAGAGGAGCTTGCATTTAGCACTGAAAACTTTTCCAAGAAAATACGCTGTATCTCTTCATTCGCATGCATTCATCATTCGTCATCTTCAGAGAGTAAATTTTCCTGTCGATACTCTGTTACTATAAAACTAAATTTTATAGTGACAGAGTAGGAGTCTGGTGCTAATAGTTGGCAGTCAATTTGGACTTATATGCGATTACCTTGACACTTGAGAAATTGCATGTATAGAGTCCTCACATTATGGCAAACGGGTCATGTCGTACTACTTGAAAAGAAGTATATTTTCAATGAAATGTCAAACTGAGGTCAAAAGTGTCTAGGTAATTCTACATTAAATGAAACCAACGGAAAACTATTCACACTACACTTCCGCAACTTGAAATACACCCAATAAAACAACTGCATACCTGCTGAAGTGAAAAAAAGGAAATGGATGAGGAAATCATATGAGATGTAAAGACTTATTAAGCGTCCCTTGTTACTCCGAAGGATTGACCCGATATGGAACATGTTTGTGGTTATTCGACTTTCTCCTGTAGGGATCAGTAAGAACGAGGGCTTCAATACAATGCAGAACCTGACAAAGAGGCATGTGGGCAGATGGGAGAGGGGATGGATGGCACTCCGACAGCCTCCCCCAAGGGAAAAAAGGGAATGCCTCTACGTTACCCTTTTCTCCAATGAAGAGAATATCTCGTTCTCAAAAGTCTGTTTCCTTTCCCTGTTCACTATCTTTCAAAACACATTTTCTAAAATGTTCTACATAACTTTCATGCATGATATACCGTTTGCTATATTATTTGGTGCCTGTAAACTAGGAAGACATTAGAATGGAATCCCATTCGAGATAAAGCCATAGGTAATTTATACGATATTCAGTTCTTGAATTCAATCTTTCACATGGAACCTTACAAATTAAAGAATTATAACATCCTCTGAGCTGCTTCTTCATCAAGGGTTTGATGATTGAAAATGAATTATGCCGTTAAAAAAATTAGAATGCGAAGACCGTTTCTAAAGGATCATACTCAGGTAGCCATGGGTGATCCAAAACTCATCCATGAACAGTCCAGCTGTCCAGAGATGAATAAAAATCGCTGGTCCTTTGGATGCTCGCTTTGGATGCGAGGATGTCATCGCCATAGATCAATATTTTCTAAATGATTCTTATCTTTATCTGGGCAGAGTTTCCCAACATCTTGCCCAAAAATTATTTCAATATTATTGAATGAAGGTTTTATGGAATGGGGATTTGAACATCTGATCATATAATTTCTGAGGTTCTATTTTTTCCGTAATCTCCTCAACAGAGTGGGTTGTAGGAAGGTTTCCTTAGTGCTGTCAATGTTACTTCCTGTTGCAAGTTGGTGAGAAATATTGACGCAACATTGCTTCTGCAATCTGGGCCTATTCTCACAGACACTTCTACAAATGTCATTGCAACATTTGCTATCAATATTGTTAGAATGTGGACAACCTTCACATTGAGGACATGGTGACAGCATTCTTATTAAAGTTGTCTGTGAAACTTCGAAATATGACAATCCTATGAATGCGCAACCGACTTAGCTTCTTGGAATTCAGTAGGGAGCTCCGATAGGACTAGGTAGTATGTATTTCAAAGCTTTTTGAAGATTACAAAACATTCTGAGGAAAGTTTATTCCTTAAGGCGTACTATGCCAATAACCATATTCATTCATGAGATGTTATTCATAATTAATTTCATGGTGATTAAATCGAGGGAACAATGACATTCCAGGAAGTGGAATCTACTGGATATTCCCCAGCAGCACCATGTGTTGGCCCAATGCTGGACCATCATTGAGTACGTTAATACAGACCATTTAGGCTAAATACAGTGGTACCTCGCATAACGAACGCAATTCGTTCCAGCGGTGCGTAAACGAACGCACCGCTGGAACGAATTGCGTTCGTTATGCGAGGTACCACTGTATTGGCAAAGCAATGCCTCCCTAATATTACGATTCTATCATCAATCCAATACCCTAATAGCACAGGATGTTGGCCCTGTTGGACTATGTTGGTCCAAAAATGGGCCAATACCTGCTGCTACTGGGGTATCGGACTGATGCGATGATCCAACATGCCCAAGTTGCACTTTGAAGTCTTGGGAAAATTGTGAAGTTCCCATTCATGCTACTTGACAGAGGTGTGGGTCTCGCTTGTCGCACAGTACACAATAGTACCATTTTCGTTTCCCTGGAATCGTTCCTCACCTCGCCATAAATCACACCTAGTCTTTCTATGAGGATCAATAAAAACAGACACATCATATTTCATTATTTCCACATTCGCGACAGATTCATGGACCCCAGACCATAATCTAACTTATATTCCCTATACGAACCCTTTCCAAAGGCTTGGTGTCTTATTCTACAAGAGATTTAAAACATTGATTAGGACTTCGCGAAATATATCCATATTCTCCTCTTCCTAAGAGCAGGATAAGAAAATGAAGGGCAAACTATGCAAAGATACCGAAAAACATGAAGAACGAACCAAACACTGGAATTTACCATTCTTGGTATTTTTCCTGGTTGCAACGCCAATTTAGATTCATTTTGGGTGCTAGTGAGTAGACGTTCTCCATCAACATTACAGCAACATCAGTTGAACAGTCTGAAACGTTTCTGCAACATATATGTAATGAACATGTAACGATTTGCAATATCAATGCAATGTTCTTTTGCAACTTTGATTTTGGAAATTTACACACTGAAGCAACATTGTTCATCAACATTTACTAAACGTTACTGGAACATCTTGTGTTTCTTGGGCTAGGTCGAAACTCAGTAACTTCAATCATTATCCCATGCAGCATGTCTACGTAAACATGATATCAATTTTTTTGCAATGTAAATTTCTTGCGATAGACATGAAAATGACATCACGTTTACGTAAAATTTATGTTAATATATTTGTCACCAAAGTGTACGTGTATTTTACGTAAACTAGACGGTCACTCCATCTGACGTTAAGTACATGATATCAAGTTCATGCAAAATTAACATCACACTTTCCATATGAAACTTTAGCTGACCATCCCACAGTTGCAATACTAGGATTCCTCACTAGATGGAACCCTTGTTCCCTGCACCTACAAATGCTAATTAGTACTGGCTTCTCGATATAGTATCAGGTTTTCTTACCGTCCTTCCACTTTTTATTGTGCAATCCATAAATATATATATGGAAAGCAAGAAATTATTACATATTTTAAATAACATATGACTCAGGGAATCATTAAATGCTGAAGCTAAGTTTGTTATTGCAGCAGTGCAAGGGATTAGGGAAGAGTAGAATCCCAACTCCACAAGTACTATACCTTCTTTATCCTAAATGGAAGAGAACTCCTTTAAACTTTTATTCCTTCTCTCGAGGTCCTTTTACGGGAGGAGGAACTAGTGGAGTCATCTTGGTACCCTTGAGTGCTGGTGAGGATGAGTACTTGTGTACTCATGTACTCGTCCAAGTAACCTTGAATTTCAAAGTATGGAAGGGGATGGGAGAAATACAGTGTATCAATTCCCTTCAAAAGTACGAATTAGCTCGTTAAACACGCATGAATTTTAGGGGAAATTAACATTAATTTTACGTAAAATGAATCTAAACATGCTATTGGCGATGTAAACGGGAAGGTCAATTTTACGTAAAATTTACGTTAATTTTATATCACCGTTTACGTATTCCAGAGGTGACATTTCTGCAAACATGTTGACATTTTCTTGATGATGGTTTGCGTAAAATAGATATAAAATGGACAAAAAAATAACATTCAGTTTACGTAAAATTAATATAAACATGCTACTTGGGATATCAATAGTGGGACATTATAATTCAACCAATGCATGATTCCATTTACAATACTCGTCATTACGAACGATACGATGACCGACTTTGGACATCCATTAGACGTTCAAGGAAGAAAATGAAATGGATAACTTCTCACAGTCTATCATTGGTTGTTCGTGGACTGAGCGACATTCACGTTGCGGTCTTCTATCTGACCAGACATCAACCAGTTCATTAAATAAAAATAAAGTTCCCCCGATATAAGCTAGGAGACACTAAACTGGCTACTGTTTGCGTCTCGATCCCCCATATGCTATTGGATGGTTCTGCAGAAGCTTTAATCCTGTACTTGATACTTCACCACATACAAGCAGAAGGAAAAAAATCGTTTTAAATTAATACATTTGCTGAGAGAAGTTACCCAGCACAAGGAGACACTACGTAATTATTGCACAATGCATAGAAAGAGTTCCTCTTGTCAGGTGATTCTCGGGCAGGGTTTTCAAATTGAAACCCGTCGGCGGGCCGCATTTCTTCCCCTGCAGATGACTGCCGGCCGTATCCATAATTTCTCACCGAAATTTGTACTGACAGTCAACCCAAGAGGAAATTTCAAGGACAGACAGCGGGCCGGATGAACCACCCCCTCGGGCCGGATTCGGCACGGGGACCGTATGTTTGACAACCCTGTTCTAGGGCATGGCTTCCCAACCCAGGGGTCGCGACCCTATTTGGGGTGGCCGAGATCGTATTTTTGGTGGCGAACTGGTAGCTAAATGCCAAGTCATGTTTTTCGCCGCAAGATTAATACATAGGATGGGAGATCCTGTCGAATTCCAGCCAGTGCTTGGGATCCTAAATAGTATGATCGTGATTCTTGGGGTCGTTTTCTCACGTGAAAAAGGCTGGGAAGCGCTGTTCTAGGGCCATCCTTTTTCACTCAAGGGTTTCCCCCTTGAATTGGCCTGTGGCGATGAGGAGAACGCCTGTATCGGGAGATTTAGACGGAAAATTGAGAGAAGTCTTTCAGGAATTCTTTAGTTTGCATCCTAACTCTTCCTTTTCATATCCTCCTGGGGAGGTGGGAGAATGAGACTATCATTAAACTTGACCTCATCCAAACTTCCACTAAATGGGAGTTTCTAAGCTGAGAATACTACTATAGAAATCCTATTTTTCGTTCATCCGAAGCAATATATTTACTTTATTTTGCAGGCCTTGTTTTTGGAAACAGATTTCAACTCGCAAGACATATGGTATTTCCTTCCCGATTCTTCGGATTCTGTGGCAGCTCTTCTCTCCCTGTTGAAAAACGAGCCAATCTACATTGACTCCAATATATTCATCATCCGAAGAGATGAAGTCGAGAATCGAACTGGATTGGTTCCCATATACGAGGTTTACAGGAAGGGACAAGGTATGCCGCTCATACACAAGCAGGCAAGTTGATGAGTGGGAAGAAAAAAGGGTCTCCTTCCAATTCTGTTTTCTCGATGGAACACGTTCATTGTCGGCAAACCCAGGTAGCGGTGTGGGACGGAGTGGTAAAAGCCATCACAGAAGCAAACAAGTATGAAAGACGGAAAGACCTCACAGGAGTGATTTTTAAAATCATTTTCCGAACAGTAAGTTGATTTTCCTTCTCATGTTACGCCTCTCGGAACAAGTGGGAAGAGATTTTACCTAAAATACGTTCATCTCAGTCCTGCAAGCTGATTGGATGCCATGTATAATTTTAAGTTTTTTAAACTCATTTATTAAAACTTTCTCAATATAGTCCGTCCTAACTGAGATAGAACTGTTAAATCCATTTTTCAAGGACTTTCTCTTTCTTCAACCACTCTCCCCCCTCCCCCTCCTTCTCTATGGGACTAACAAACGTCAGGCTTAGGCCAAACATATCTTCAGGTTATGCAAAGGCGTGCCTTTTTTCTTTTAAGAAACTCTCACATCCCAAATTACGGGGCCAATTAGGCTTATATTGGTCAATCCGTGGTCTTGGAGACATCTTGTTAAGAAGTATAGTAACGTTAGGCCAATAACAGGCCTATTCATACTTTCACGAACCATTTCAGAGAGGACGTATAATGTGAGACCTATCTGAAGTTCCCCGATTCATCTGGACTAGGACTGAGACAATGCCTTTTGGAGGCATGACATTCAGAGTGCGCGCCATCATATTAATTTAGGGATGTGGGATAAGATATATCCATATCCCACCACGTCGATCGGCCACTGTTAACCACTGTTTCATTCTCAGCTCATCTCATGAACCAAATACACTAATGTCCCATGCATTAAAAACAGAAGATCCAGGCACCGATACGGAGGTTGAAGCAGTCATGAATCTGGCATAAATTCGACAGGGTATCCGACAACACTGGGGAACGGGACCAAAGCCACCACGCTAGCCTGCACCCTAAATGAGCAACAGTTAACATTTTAAAGGAGAAATCATGCATTGAAAACAACAATTTTCGTTAATTTTCGGGCAATTTTCGTTATCTACAAATCAATATCTTCCCCTTTAATTGGTTTATTTCCCACGACACCCCCAAGAATGCCTACCGGGGGGAGAGGGGGGGGGGGAAAGGAAAGAAATTCACATCTTCAATAAGCGAGATTCAGTGATCTCCACGACCCTGGGGAGATAGAGCTTAAAATTTTCTGGAGCAATTCTGCGTTGAAAGAGGAAGAAACATACAATTCCTTTCCTCTGGCTCTCACAGAAGAATACGAGGTTGAATTTGGTTGCGGGAAGGGGTTGAAGAAAGGTAATTGGTGCTACCGTGCCTATTCATATGATGTAATTGATTGCTGCTGAACGTATTAATTATTTCCAAATCGTTTCAATATAAAGAAACGTGTCCCTATGGAAATACTTTAATAAAATACAGTAATTGAGTATACAAAGGTATGGCTCAAAAATTATGTCATAATTTTGCAAAGCACTTTATTGTCGGGAAACCCTCCTGCATAATCTCAAAACCTGCACATATTTTGTGGTAATGTCTTTTGTCAGAAATACTCATGTTAGTCCTCGACATGTCCACCGTCTCGCTGCCGGCACAACTCAATGCAGTATAGTCAATATCCAGAAACCTTGTGCAGTGTCCGGTAGGTTCCCAAAGAGTCAAAGGGTAATGGGGTTCATAATATGAGTGTCACTGCCAATGATGACAAATGAGAGCAATAATGTTGACGAAGGGGAATTTTCTTTTCAAATGCCCGAGCTGTATGGTCTGTCCTCACATCTTTCTTTCCTCGAAACTTCATTTTTGGAGTCTTCTATCAATTCAGTTGACAAGTGTTAATAATCTTTATGGCGGTCCTCCATCGAGAAAGCAATGTCGCTGCACAAGGATTCAGGATACAGACTATACGAGAGTGTCGCCCACGTGCTCGTTAACATTTCCTGCGGGAGGCTGGCGAATGCAGCATTCATATGGTTTCTTAGGACTGCCACATCATAGTCCCTTACCAAACACCTTCTCTTTGATATAACCCCTAACGAATAAGTAAATTTAGGTGAGATCGTGAGAGTTCGCTAGCTAGATAATGGTCCAGGGAACCAAAAGTTTTGTGTGGACGAGGGGGCCCTATCAAAGTAGAGGTGTATGCCGAGATACTCCTTTGATGTTTATTCGTGGCGTGGGGGAGGGGGGTATACATGGCAATTAAGTACTTTGCTACTGAATTATAATAAATTACTTGTGAGCTATGCTTTTGTGAACACCTTATAGATAACTATTTACAATGTACTTACGGCAGTTTCGAAAGCATCTTGAAAATTCGGATGCTCTTGGTGAGGTGAACCATGCAGAATATATAGGTTTTGTAAGACAAATGTGGTCAAAAGAAAGTACAATGCGACGAGGAAAGTCAAATGTTTCGCTGTGGTGGATTTCGGATTTTAGGGAAAAGCAAATGAGGAAAGTCAAAAGCGACAGATACATCAGGTATACCATGCCCAAGTTAGAGGAATGCTTTCTTGTTGTATTTTCACACAGTGCGGCTTAGGGTGCATTAGCATATGTTATTTTTTTGCAATTAAACATATTTTACAATTACCGTTATGTCAGGGTTAGTCAAAGAAACATGCTAACACCAATCATTTGGAGTGATATGATAGGCCAGATTTCACACATTACAAAACTGAGGAAAATTATGGGCTCCTCTCAACCCTTAACTAGAATCCTTGTTTTTTTTTTTCATTGCGTAACTGGTATTGTGCGATCAAATTGACCCCAGCCAAAAAAAATCTCAATAAAATGAAGTTTCTCGAGATGAAAAATAATTTATTGCGGCAATATACCGGGTAACTTTACTGCAGCGAAGCAGCATATTGGTAGCATATTCCCAAGACAAACCCTGAAGTATCAAAAATTGCCGAATATTATTGATTACATTATGAGCACCATATGCCAATAGACCTGAATCCGTACCTTGTACGAACAAGAAGGCATTCTCCATAACATGGTTTAGTATGCCTTGTGTATCAGTCACATTTGATTTTCCTCATATCATTCATGATTTTCCCTAAAATCCGAAATCCACCACAGCGACACATTTCCTTCCCGACCTTCCTTAATGTCACATTTGACGCTCCCATACAGCACAGCGACACATTTGAATTTCCTTGTCGCATTTGACTTTCTTTTGACTATATGTCTTACAAAACCTATATCTTGTTCTTCACCCAACGGAGAGCAGTTATCAAGTTTTTCATATTCCCAGTATCTGACAGGGAAATTATCAAGAAGAGACTTTTTACTTCCGAAAGTATAGATCTGATTCTCGTTTTACCAGCAGAACAAACAAGGGGATTTCAGAAGCGAGTCAGATGAAGTCAGATTCGGGTCAGACGTTCAAATTCTTGGTTTTCTTCAAAAGATTCAGAGATCCAAATTGTTAGAGAGATATTACGATGAACTCCTCAAAAATGCCATTTACAACGCATGTTCTTCATATCTCCCTTTCCCTGATTGCAATATTGGAGTTTGCAAGGGAGCACAGGAAACATGTGTTTCCCAAGCGAATGAGGAAAAGCTTATTCGCATAAGAATCGGATTTCGAATGTGGGATTCTTAGCCGTTATAATCACGAAGGAATTTAAAGAAAATGTTATTATTAACATTGATTAGCATTTCCTAGAAAAGGCAGGAATTTTTTCCAGAGCATATGGAGACATCGGGATTTGTATATTTTTAGGCAGATCTCTATGCAATAGAATCATAAAACTCCCGAAATCATCTTTTACATCTTGCGTCATTGATGCCGTTATGGACCTATGGAACGAAATCTGCACCCGGGCGTTAGCATGAATTCTCTGATCACGTATTCACTGAGAGGCTTCGTAGCTGAGTCTTCCCCTCGGCAGACTACGATTATTGAGAGTTTTTGCTTAAGGGTTGAGAAAAAGCTCCCTTTTTTATTAATAAAATATGCAATTCTCTACAGAGGAGGGAGCTAGATCTGCCTTCGTGGACCTACAGCTCACGGAGCTGAAGCTCCGTGCATTTTCTTCATCACTAATGGAGCTGTTTCTCCAATTTCGTTGAGCTCAACCTCTAGCTTACTTTTATTCATACGGGCCATTGTGTTAGAAGCTCGCCTACCATGCTTTTCCTTGCACCCCGCCCGCTCCTACCCCCTCGCCGCTCTTTCCCCACTCTCAGAACTCCAGCGGATACAAGCATAAAATAAAAAGTTACTTCTAAATATATTTTACTGTACTCGCACTCATGTCACGAAAATAATGGATACCGATGCGTTTATTTTCATCCTGCGTAAGAGTGGGCCATTTCTGCTGTTCCTCAATGGCACGAAAGAAGTGGGAGGAATATTTGGAGAGACATGGAAAGTCTTGCAAAGCATCATGAATTTCACGTGAGTTCCCATCTTCCCCACGTCTTTCTACCTTTCCTAGCTTGCAAATGCAAAATATTCACCAAAATTTTCAGACTCGAAAAATATTTTTGAAGGTAAAAAGTTTTTGTTACGACGGCAAATTTGTCTTAAGAGAACTGGAACCAATTTCACAATTTATATATATTGGAATGTGCACAGAACTTATCCTAATGAGTGGAATGGTATGATTGTGATGCATGTAGGTAAAAATGTTGAATAGGAAAAAGTCGAAAAACTCTCTGAATAATGGGAAAGACTAATGGAATTTAGTTTGAGAAAATGAGTTTCAAGGCAGGATCAGAAAACATACCGTTTCATGAAATCTTCATCGTTTCCTATATGTCTGGAGAAGTTGCATGGAAGTTGGGTTTAGAGGTTCATATAATCCCATCGGCAAGTTGAATGAAACAACCCAAGTCTATGACGGCTTATTGGGAATGCTACAGAAAAAAAAAGTGGACGTCGTCGTTACAGCTTTTACCATCACCAAGACAAGATCTGAACATATGGACTTCCTTCTTCCCATCCACTACTATTAGTGAGTCCAAGTACACCTCCTCTTCGATGCTGCCTTATTGAACATGAAGTAGTGAGTAGCCTTGGACGAATGTTTCACAGCCCTCGGATTTTCGTGGCGAAAAGAGAAAATACTTCTCCGTGGATGGCTTACTTGGAACCGTTTTCATGGTCGCTTTGGATCACAATCATCGCCACCATCATGTTATTTTCTCTCGTCCTATGGTTCCTGAATCGAAAGGCAAAAGATCTACAAACCGTTCATTTTAAGGACCATGAATTGCTAGATCCCATAACCAACTGGCTCTACGTATGGGGTGTTTTCTGCCTACAAGGTAATTTCGTACATCGATGTCTATTTATGATGATATACGTACATATCCATCGCCGCTAATCCTTTGCCGTCTATTATCGAATAGGAGCAATTGGGAACCCGAGGCACTGCTTAGCTCGTGCTGTTCTCTCCATGAGCTTCGCGGTAGGATTAATCATCGTGACGGCTTACTCTGCCGTCCTCACTTCCTACTTGGCTGTAGATTTCCCCTCGCTCCCCTTTGAGAAATGGCAAGGCATTCTCAACGTCGCATCTTCTTGGAAACTTGGCGTCTTGAACGAGTCATCGGTTTTCGACATGTTCTCCGATGCATACAATGTCAGTTATTCCTAAACGCATAGTCTGCTTTGGATTCCATAGTAGGACAGAAGAAAAAGGGAAACAGGAGAATTGGAGAGTTGCACTCGAGAAATCAACAACAAAATTAGGTAACTGTAACTATTTTGAATATTGAAAACAGGCTCTTTTCGTATATGCCTGACTGTTGAGAAGGTGGAAATAAGGTGGAGAAGGTGGAAAACTGCGGCATTTATAATATACACATTTGTGACTGAAAGCTTGTTAACTTTTACATATTTTTCCTAAGTTTATCGCAATGGAAAAAGTTCTCGAAAATAGGTTTTATATGACATCCTTCTACTCTGATATTTTCATGGGGGACAAAGTTAACTAATAGATTTTTCACGTGAGGGGCGGGACTATGAGACTCACATGAGAGAAATTTGACTAAGGGAGTTGATCGTAATATGTGCCCAATATTTTTGCAAACGAAGAATTAGCAACATAGGAAACCGGGTAGGAAGAAAGATAAAAGGCTTCAGGGGTGGAGAGGGGATATGGAGCAGGTGTTAGTGAATGTCTTACCGTGCTAAACAACGGTCTCGTCTCTTGATGACATTTCCTATATTAATCATGAATCTCTAATTGAGCACAACTGAGCACAATTGAGCAACATGAATGCGCTTTGTTTCATTTATTTATTGCACGTTTAGACTTCAGTCCAGTGGACAACAGATATGGGAAAGATATACGAAAAGCTAATTATGAACAAGTCGGAAAACCAGTTCTGGACATACGAAGAAGGCATGTGGCGGTCCTTCACTGAACCCAATTATGCTTATGTTGGACCAGAAGAAAGCGTGTACGTCTCCAACTACACGTGCCAGCTGGTGCCAATCCCCGGAAGGTTGCCATGCCAACACCTTTCTATTGCCTTCACAAAAAACTCCAGCTACACCAATCTCTTCAGTCACTTGTAAGACTCTTTGTTTCTCTCATACACCACGGTGGCAATGGTTTGCCATTCTACGTATTGTTATTACAGTGTTACAAAACTTCACGAGCAAGGTGTCCTGAGGAAAATCAAGGACCGATGGATCAGAGAGAGGTGGAGAACTTGTTCCACGTCCTACGATTACAAACAAGCAACGTTTTCCGATATTCAGTCCTTGATTGTATTCTTATCGATGTCTATGATCTTGGCCTGCATGGTCCTTGTTTTCGAGCGTCTTCAGCACTCTTGCCGAATATTTCAAAGTTATGAAATGTAAATATGCAGCATGATCCATGCTGACGAGATTAAAACGGCACCAGATTGTTAGGGAGTGAATATGACGATGTTGTGGGATGATGTGATTCAAAGAAAACTTGCATAGCAACAAAACATATGGAAGACGCCTGTTCCTCCAATAACGCTAGTTTTCTTTTCTTCCTCCCGAAATGCCCTTTTCCATCGGGTTATAGCTATATGTCTAACTGTATAGCCATGACAAGATGAGGCCTCCGATGGGAAATTTGTTTGCGTCTTCGAGTCCATGCATCGGCTTCATGGGTACTAAGAATAGCAGTCTGCTTTTGTTGATCATATGCATGAAGAATTTAGTTGAATTGAACAATTTTTCACTTTCCTGCACCCCTTATCCAATAATATCCAAATATTCAACAAGTTTCTTGGAGGTGTTGTCATTTCGTTTTGTTGTATCTAGTTTAACTCAGTTGGATCTCATTTAACGAATACTTTCCTTCTAAGTGTTCGCTAAAGGCGATTCGCCCTAATTTCATATCGAAAGTAGAGGAAGTTCACTTTTTTTTTTAGTATTTATCCTGTAACGTTGACACTCTCACTCCACACTCTCTAACGTTGATACGCTCACTCCACACTCTCTAACGGTGACACTCTCATTCCATAGCACACTGCCACGAGCTCGTGCATCCAAATTAATCAAAATAGCATACTTCCTCAATATGTTTGCATAACAAAATGTGAACCCTTGTTTTTGCTCATGACACTGATATGTATGCAACAGTATATGCCACGCTCTTGAAACTCTGATCAGCCGCAGAGCACACTGCCACAAGCTTATGCACCAAACTTTTTCTAGAGCTCTCGAGGTTTTCTTTGTATATTAGTACATACATTTTACAAGGTTGTTACAGCTCATGAGATAAATTATGTATGTACAAGCAGGTTAAGCGTTATTTTTCTGATAATTGGCGAAATGACGGAAGGTGAATATTCCTTCGCGAACATGGAAATTGGCGAGAGTGGTGCCGAAGGGGCTCATTGAATATCGTCAAAAGATATATAAGTTGCAGGGTTCGCAACTGTGAGAGCTCTGCAAACTAGCCGCTTACCTGCAGAGAGCAATCTGGGAGATGCATGTTGCCGTATGTAGCACATGAATTGTCTGTCTTTGGCATTTCTCTGAATTGGGTCGATTATATTAATAAATCAATATCTTGAGCCTGAGACATTGTCCTGAATCATTCACATCCTTTCTTTAAAAGAGTCATCTCCATCCAAGATATGTTCTGTAAGAATGTGTCAAGCTTTCCTGGTTATGCAATGTAAGACATGATGTGTGCTTCTCTTGAAGAAGAAGAGGTTTCACCCCCCGCAATTATTAGAATAATTACCATCTTGCGTAAGCATTCCCCCAAACTACTGGTGAACCTTGAAGTGGAAATGGGGAAGTGGGCAGGGAAGATATAGTTCGTCTACTTTTTTGTCTATTGTGGAAACTTTTGGAAGGGTACGGAAGTAGAGTATATGAATTAGATTCTCTTAAGAAAGAAATTCACCCTATTTCCTTTAAAAAATCGGAGAATTTCAACTGACTGTGGTGTGCCTACCCGTAAATAAAAGGTCTAAAATTCAGTTTTTTTTTACTTTTACTGAATCTTATTAGATTCTCCAATTCTCCAATAATATTAAAATATATTTACATATTGCGCTAATTTATGTTTGTAAGCTGGGTTGCGACGTTATGCACATTGATACAGTGGCCTTTCATACATCATTCGAAAGCTCATGGTCAATATGTGTGCAACGTGCAATCAGGTTTGAAATATACACTCAGGATGAGTTATAAGCGGTCAAAATTTTCACAATTATGCTACCACCTGTAGAGCCATGCACGGGCCGATTTCTCGGTACCCGACCCTGTACGGCCGATTCAAGTCATATTTGATACCCGACCCGAAAATTGAATTCCAACCCAACTTCACGGCCCAACCCGACTCGACCCGACCTTCCAACCTTCCTTCATTTATATTGATGGTCACAACGTTTAGCATTTTCATTCTCTCAGATTACATGCATAAATAAGATTCAGTTATGACACTGAGTTTTCATGGTATCAGACCAAAGGAATGATAACATTAAAAAATTTAATTTTCAGCGGTTTTTCGAAAACCCCAGGGAAACGGACCTTCGCATTTCCTGGAGCGATTCTGCATTCAAGAAGTGACACATTTTGTTCGTGCAGATGTTCTTAATAGGAATACAAAGAAGTGGAATTGCACCAGGATCACACAAGACCACAAGCGCCTCATGCACTGATAGAAACAATGAAAGGGTAGGGGGGCGCTGACGTCTTCCCCACCCTAAAGTCTCGACTTGACTCGGTCTGAATCTTGTCCCTGCTGACTGTAAATTTGACGACAGGTACGGAAACCAAATAGAAAAAAGAAACATTGATCGTAGAGGGGTTCGTAATGCACACCATGAACGAGGGGCACCCAATATTAATATCTCTCACTTTGTCTATTGCAAACTACTAGTTGCCCCAAGTTGACAATGCAATGCATGAACTTTCAAATCGTCCATTCCTTGTATCAAAATTCAAGATTTCAACTCAGCTCTGCATCGCCCAAGCAGCATGTTTACGTGAACAACATATTAATTATTTGCAAACAATGTAAATCACTTGCGATTGCCAAGAAAATGGCATCACGTTTACGTAAAATTTACGTTCCTATATTTATGTCACCAGAGTGCACGTGTATTTTACATAAACTAGACGTCACTCCCTCTGACGTGAAGTACATTATTTCAATTTTATGCAAAATTAACACCATACCGTCCATATGAAACATTAGCTGACAATCCCGCTGTTGCAGCAAAAAGATTCCTAACTAGATGGAACACTTGTTCCCTGCAACTGCAGATGCTATTAAGAACTGGCTTTCCTGATGTAGTAACAGATTTTCTTACCATCCTTCCACTTTTATTATGCAATGTATAAATACCATATGTATAAATACCACCTTTCCATATATATTCCATATATATGGAAAGCATGAAATTTATATATATATATTTTTAAAATAATATATGACTCAGTGAATCATAAAATGCTGATGATAAGCATACACTACAGCAGTGCATGGGAATAGCGATGAGTTGAATCCCAGAAACTTTATCCTTAATGGAAAAGAGCTCCTCTAAACATTTACTCCTCCTCCTGAGGTTCTGGTACGGGAGAAGAAAGCAATGGATCATATTGGCACTCATGAGTGCTGGGGAGGATTAGTACATGTGTACTCATGTACAAGTATCCGACACTTCCGAAGCATGGAATGGAATGAGAAAAATACAGTGTATGAATTCCTTCAAAAGTACGAATCGGCTGGTTAAATGCACATGAATTTTAGGGTATAATTAACATCAATTTTACGTAAAACGAATGTAAAATAAAAATATGCTGCTGGGGAAGTAAACGGGGTTGTACATTTTAGATCAAATTTACGTTATTTTATATCACCGTTTGCGTATTACAGAGGTGACATTTACATTTCTGCAAACATGTTAACATAATCATGATGGTTGGTGTAAAAGGAGATTTAAAATGGGCAAAAAAGTACATTCATTTTACGTAAAATTGGCATTAACATGCTGCTTGGGGCCAAACCCTGCATATGATGATGAATGTGAATCGGTGATACATCTTTACTTGAGGGAATTCAATCATTACTCTCTGCTTTCGACAATTTCTTCAGTTGTGCGCGGAGCTTTCCAACTAAGAACTACGAAACTTAAGCAGGAACTGGAGAACATTTAGAAGTCTTTGCATGTGCGTTATTTAATTTGTGCCGCCATTCGATCGTGATAGACAAATTTGAAGGCATTACTTTTTCCGGGCGTTACTTGTAATTTTTAACGTTATGAGTAAACTTACTTAAAAAATGAAACATTTTCATTATTAGGAGTGCCTCATGCGTAGCATTCCGGAATCAATCAGAGAGACCCTGGGGCTTGGGTATGGCCAAGGGGATCCAATAGTGACATTGGCTCATGTGTTAGTGATGCTTTAGGGACTCTGTCTCATCCTTCAGCCCTCTGTATTTTTCTATAGAATCCTTATTTTTTCAGAAGAGCCAAGGAATGAAGTAAAGCCCATTCGCCTTGAATGTCGCGTGGGCCAACAGGAGGTACGGCCCAAATTTCATTATATCCGTCGATAGCCGGAATTGCCTCGCGAGCAGCATCATGATTAACAGCATGGACTGGTATTTGCGCAATGAAGGAGATAGACAAGGACAAAGTGATGTGCATCGGGCACAAGGACCATGAGGAGATTGACTCACGTTGACAAATTGCATTCACCTTGGCAAGGAATGGTGAGTAAGGAGCTTCGGAAAATTCTCTACTTACGTCAGGAGCTGATGATGAAGTACTCGCAGGAATCGACCATAGTCGTTATTGAGTTTCAAAAATTCCTTCTAATTTATTATTCATATTCCTAGCATTAGAGAACATCTTAACATGGGTCATATTATATTTTCACACATCTTCAAAGTAGAGATTATATTTGCTTTCAAAACCTCATGGAAATAGAGCTTCAATTTTAATTGAGCGATGCTGCTTTCTAATATAGGGAATGAAGGCTGATTCCGTTCGTCCAGATACTCTCAAAGAGCAATACAAATATTTGAAATTTTTTGACAGGAAGGGACTGAAGAAAAGAATTTCAAGCCTATTAATTTAACAAGATGTTCCTCCATCTCGCCGGCATGGAGTTTTAGCGTTCTGTCTGAAGTATTTTCTCTCATTTTCTGGAGTGCCTCATGCCCATATGTTGGAAAGTTCCATTCCCGAACATGAGTGCAGCTAGACGATGCGAGGCCACGCGAGGCTCCCCTTAAAAAAAAATATACTGTCAGGGGATATATATGAAAAAAGAAAACTTTCCTGAAATCAGCATGTCAGTAGACATGTTTCTGTTTATTTCCACATTTTAGGTCATTCCATTTGTCTAAACCGAAATATGGGCAATTTTGTATTATTTCAATAAATGCCTCTAAAAATTTCCTCCCTAAAAAATGTTCTCCCATAGCATGTATCATTTCGGAATTTTTCTGAACTCAGCATCCCAATAACTACTTATGTTCCGAGTTTAAGACTTCCACCATATCGAGAACATGGTTTGAATCAGCGGTCAGTCACTCAGTCCCGATTGTCTATTGTAAAGGCGCCAGTTCAGGGACAATTTCGTGTTTTCCATTTTGTGCGCATGCCTGTCGGCCACTTTATAACTTATGCATGCCCATTAGCATGAGTCAACTTAGACGTTTTCGCTTCGATTTAATATAGTACCTCTGAATTCCTCATCCAGTATATCCAGTGATTTTTCTTAACGGATACGAACCTTTTCCATACCTGCTTGTTGCAAAAGAATCGATGTGGGCCTCAAGTGAAAAGTTCGGAAATTTTGCTAGAAGTTCCTATTGTATGGATGAAAAACATCATTTAAAACGACGAAAAGTGGGTGTCCACCAACTTAAAAGATGAATCTTGCTGATGCTTCAGCTGGAAAATTTCAGCGCTGAAGAAATGCCCCAAGTAACACAGTATGTTTGCAGTATGTTGATGGAACGCATAAAAAATTTGACAGTGTTACTCTATTTTACAAGTTGATGAACAGCATTGATGCAACATTCAAGGCCTATTTTCATTTGTTTATTACTTGGAATGTAGCTGAGCCACTGCTAATAATGTTATTGCAGCATTCGCTATCAACATTGATAGAATGTTGACACTGTTGACATGGACAACATGGCGACAACTTTTTGGTAGGGTTTTTCTGTGGAACTTCGAAACGCGACAATTCTCTGAATGTGCAGTCGATTACGCTCATTGAATGAAGTAATTCGATATTACCAGAAGGTCAAGATGGAGCAAATACCAATATCGGCATAATGCTTTTCCAGGTCATTATGGATCCATTATGCCATTATAGACCTAGATTGGTCGCCATTGATGCAACATTCTTTATCCATCAGCGACTTTTGTTGAAAAGTCCCGATACACTTTTGCAACATTTACAGGGTGTTCCGAAAGTCTCTAACCAATTATAATGAAGATTGATAAGAGATTAACGGGAATATATTGATTTAATTGCATTCCACATCGCCAAGAATGCCAAAGGTACCACCTTCATCAATATTTGAAATCATTTCCCGCAGACCTCAAAGAAACCTCGGATCCTTGTTCGAATCTCTCAACCAACCGACGGATGACGATCGTCACATTCGTTTCTCACCCCGCTGAGAACCCCGGTAATGACCGACGCCTGATTTGTGGGGTAGAACTGATGAAGAGTATTCTACTGGAACATGTGCCACAGGTGTTCCAGATGCTGAGGTCCGGACAGTCCCTTGGCAAATTCTTCCAGACATGTACCATATTCTCTTAAAAGGCAAACCAAGCCTCCAATGCTTGGCCGTTGGCCATGGCCTTGCCATGGCCTACGTCCTGCATCAGCACAGCCTTTTCTTGGTTTGAGCAGATCGCCCGGATCTTCATGCAGTCCGTGTAGATAAGCATAATGTTTTCACTGTGGCTGGCATAGTATTTAGCCACATCTTGTGTGGGGGAATCAAAAACTTTCGGAACACCTTGTATGTATCCATTTGCAATATCAAAGCAACTTTCTTCGCCACATTGAAGCAACGTTGATATGGACATTTAAGCATTGAAGCAACATTTAATTTTCTGGACGTTATTGAAAACTGTTACTTGGGTGATCACCTACTGAAGATCATGATGAATCCTTGCACAAGAAGAGGAGCGAATCCTCCTGTTTGCAGCAGGTATACCTGCCACTAGTTTACAAAATCTAGGTTAGGGACAATTAAAAATAATGACCCCTTGTACAGAGACAACAAAAACAACTATTAACCCAAACAGCCTTCGAAATAAAGAATTATGGGTGACGCTAATGCCGCTCCCACCCAGCCATGGCTAGACTCCGTTCAATTTTCGTCGATGCAGATTCCGGAAACAGGTCTATAGCTATGTAATGGTTGAATTTGAATTTTTATAAAGGCAGTTTGAAGGATTCGTAATACATACCGTGCAGTTTTCAACGTTCTGAGAATATTTCCTGAGTAAAAAAAAAAAACTCTCTATACATTAAATTTGAAGAGTCCCTCATTCTGGAATCAATCACGGAGTTTCATGATTTCACTCGCATAGGTTAGGAGGTCCCAAAGTGAATTTTGAGTATTGCATCTCGCTTACGATGCTTTTTAGGGACTTACTCCTGTCCTTCCTCTTGGAATCTATGGTGTCCATATTTCATATTTCTGGAACAAATTAATGAAATCAAGTCTTTGTCTTGAATACTGTGCGATCTCTCAGAAGGCAGAGTCCCCATTCCATTATTTTGATCAACTTCAGAAAGTTCGAGAAGCTTCATGATTCACAACAAGAAAATGACTGCCGTCCGCGGCAATAAAGGAAACAGACAAGGACAAATTGATGTGCATTGGGCACAAGGGCCATGACCCATGACATAGATGAATAGTTTTCATCTTGGGAATGAATGGTGAGTAACGAGCTTTGAAAGTTCCCTGCTTACATTAGGAGCTAGTGATAAAGTACTCGGAGGAATTGAGCATAACTTTTTCATCGAGTTTCTTATATTCTTAATAAATTATTCACATTCCTGGGAACTAGGGACATAGGCACAACAGGTACCGTATGGACTGAGTTTCATTTCCGCCCGTGTTTCTTTGGATTCCCACTTCCTTCTATGATTCCCTTCTGGGTTTGCATGAGCTCTTGCCTAGGAAATGAGTTGGAGAGTGATTAACGCTCTCTTATGGTACCTGTGCTTGGTGCAGCTGAGAGGGGAGGTAGATGCAGCGGCATTGGAAGAACTCGTTCACAGTCTTCTCACTTACCATCGATACTCCTGTGTAACATTCTTCGATGATCTTCAGCACCCAGGTAATGTTCAGGTTAATGCTGCTACTGGCTCAAATGCTGAAATGCAAAGAAAGTTGACTTTCTACTCAAGTTCATTGCGCAAGGAATGATGAGATTCATATTAAACGTTAATGCAAATGGACATCCACACATACGATATATCTCAAGAACGTAACAAGGAAATGATTGTCGCTCACGGTCGCTGATTATGAAAAATCTGCTGACAATCTAATGATAATCATGTAACGGAAGCAGGACAGTTAAGGTCGAGTTATTTACAATAAAGAGAAGCTGTTTACCTTTACTGCTAAGAATTACTCGCACCTTACTCTGTCTCTCGTACGAGTACCCCTCAGTCGATCACGTGCTTCAACTTGAAAGTTTAAAAATTATTCCACCTCTCCCCATGGATTAAAATGAGGAAAATGTGTTATGTAATTGAATGATTTTGTCAAGTTTAATTACCAAGGCACTTCAAATTCACAACCATTATGGTACCAATAAATAAAATAAAAATATGCCAATATATTTTCACAGTACCCTTTTTCGTCAGGATTGACACATTTCCCATTGCTTGACCAGACGTTAGGCTCTTTATTGTTTCCCTTCCAGTGGTTGAGAAGAATGAGAGGTTTCGGACGATGAAGAGCCTGACTGATCGCCATGTGGGGAGATGGGTGACTCGATGGGATGCACTCCGAGAAACTTTGAAAGGGGAGGAAAGAGGATGCCTCTACATTCTCTTCTCCAGTGAAGAGACCCTTTGCTTCTCCAAAGTCTGTTTTTCTTTTCCTATGTTTAATTTCCATCTTCGTCGTCGCATTAGCAAGATGTTCTGGGTTACTTTAGTCATCTCTGCCTTTCTATTCCAGTGTCATATTTTTAACGATAAAACATGGATAAAGGAGAACAATAACTTTGTAGGATGCTTGGGAAGATGGATCCATAACCATAAAAATCCGATATTTTAATCCACTGTTCTTTCGCTCATCCGAAATAGTCATATTTATTTCCTTTACAGAGTGTGTTGCTCTCATCATTCCACCCGCAAAACATTTGGTATTTTCTCCCCGGTTCTCGAGCATCTGAGGCGGTTCTCCTTTCCCAATTAGAGGGAATGCCCATCTACATCGATTCCAGTGTCTTTATCATCCGGCGAGATGAATTCGAGGCCCGGAACGAATCGGTCCTCATCCACGAGGCATACAGGAAAGGAAAAAACATGTCGCTCATACACAAGCAAGCAAGTTGTAGGAATGGGATTTCTAAATTCTCATTCTTTTATTGTTCTAACACATATTATTTATTATCGGAAAATGCAGGTTGCCATTTGGGATGGGAAGCCGAAATACAAGGAAGCATGCAAGTATGAACGGCGGAAAGATCTCACAGGAGTGAATTTGAAAGTAATTTTCTTCGAGGTAAGTAGTTTTCTTTCACCCATCCGTGTAGCATTTAAGCTTTGCTGTGGAATATTATTGGAAACGAAGATAACGTCCCTGTCCAGAAAGTGCAACGATCGAAAGTTCTTGTGTGAGAGATTATCTAATGAGAAGTTCCCAAACCGTTGGAATGGTCAAGGGACAAACATAATGTTGGCTTAAAGATAACCTGACCTAACCGCCTTGGATTTTTTTGCATGGGGGTGCATGAAGTCAAAGGTTTACAGCACAAAGCTTCTCAATGTTGAAGAGAAAGAGATCGCGTCCATGCTGCTATTAACACCATAACCCCTGACATGCTGAACATGCTGAATGTTTAGGGAAACAACAGATCGATTGCAGTTATTTATCGATTTGGAAGGTGGTCATGTGAAATTTCAGTTTTTAAAAAATGTTAATGATAGTTTTTAAATTTACTTCCACTTATTTTATTTCGTTCATTATTGACTATGTGAAGTGCACATGATTACTTTTTGTGAGAATTTTGAGTTTTTCAATGAAATAGATTGGGACTTAATGAGCATCGTATACTATAACGAGTTATCCGTAAAGCGATTTTGAGAACTGAACTTTCCCGATGTGCTCTCTGTGCGAAGGGAGAGAGGAAGAGAGGGATGAGAACGAGGTGAAATCTATTCTGGTTTCAAAAATCTGAGGAGAAAAATAGATTTGCCCAAGTCTGATAACACCCGTGTCATGAAAATGGTCGAAACATACAGGAGTATGTAAACTACCGATGCTATGTTGCCATAGCACATGCAACGTATTGGAGTTCACTCGCTGATATGCACATCCATGTCTTTAAACGACGACGCTCTGAGAGGGGATAGCGCAGTTCACGTTTGGGTGGCAAACAGATAATTTTAAGATAGCTGAATCCTGAAAATGACCGTTAGGAACCACCCAATAGAGCCATTGAGACGGCGCGCTATTACGCCTTCCGGATCGTAAAAGTAGCTTGCTGGGATCGTCCGGGCGAAATCCAGCAACACATTTATTGCTAATTTATCCTGAACATTTGCATGGTGTTCGTCATATCACGGATTTTCGATGTGTTCCTTGAGTTTTGGAAACCAGTGTATATTTTCCCGTTTTCATATCCACCACCTTAATGAATTACCGAAGGTCCATGGATCTCAGGCTCAAAAACGTGAATGTCAAGTTCCATGCCTAATTTAAAGTTCAATCATTAGAAAGCTCAAATTCAGCTTAAGCTCTGCGTTCCATCTCTAACGAGTCATAGTATCTCTCAAGCCATGTCACCAATATGCGGAACTCTTCTGACTTTTTTAATATATATTTTTCAAGGTCAAACCATATGTCATACTTCACAATTATACGCATGAGGTGGGGGGAATGTTCGGAGAGACCTGGATAGTTCTCCAAAACATCATGAATTTTTCGTGAGTTCCCTTTTGCAAAGTCCTCTAATTTTCTCTCTAATGTAATGTTATGCTCATGAATGCCATCACTCCAGGAAAAAATACTGTGGAGAACTTCATTTAGCTCTTGTATAACAAAAGAGACCGTAGATTCTTTGGGAAAGGAGTAGACGTTCTAGTATTGGAGAAAAGAAGAAAAATAACATTTTTGAAATCTAACCATTTACCTCGTCTGCACTAGTTACACTGAGGCTTGGTCAAGAGGCCCAAAACTGACCATAGGGAAGTTGAATGAAACAACCCAAAAGTATGCAGGATTATTTGGAAAGCTTCAAAGAAAAAAAGTCGATGCAGTCATTGGACCGTTCACCATAACAAAAATAAGATCAAATTACATGAACTTCCTCCTGCCTATCCACGACTATATGTGAGACCACACTATCTTTTCTTCATTGATTGTGGTAATTGAACATGAAGGGATGAGTAAACGTGTACACGTATTTCAAAGCCCTCGGATTCACGTGGCGAAAGAGCAAGGCGTGTCTCCGTGGTTGTCCTACTGGAAGCCCTTTTCCTGGTCACTTTGGCTCACAATATCAGCCACAATTATTACATTCACCCTCATCCTATGGTTCCTGAACCGAAAAGCCAGAGATCTACAATCTCTGGATTTCCAGGATCATCATTTGCTCGATCCCATAGAAAACTGGCTTCATGTATGGGGTGTCTTCTGTCAACAAGGTGAAACCATCCATTTACATTTGTTTGCGCTGATATAGCGATTGAACGTCTTAGATCTCTCCGTTTACAATCGCACAGGAGCCATTGAGGAGCCAAAACACCGGTTACCCCGTGCAGTTTTTTTCTCGAGCGTTGTGGTAAGCTTACTCATCTTCACCGCCTATTCCGCAGTCCTCACATCCTTCTTGGCAGTGGAAGTTCTCTCGCTACCATTTGAGAAATGGCATGGAATCCTAAACGTCGCTTCCTCATGGAAACTCGGTGTCATGAATGAGTCCTCGGATTTCGACATGTTCTACAATGCATACCACGTCAGTCGTTCTATGACCGTTCTTAAGACCTTAGTTTACCTAAGTAAAATGAAATAATGTGAAAACTATTCCTCAAAGGCTATTTCTTTTTTCAAACTAAAGCTCAACCACAACCACTGCCAAAGCCCTAGGACAGGAGTCTGGAACCTTTTTGGCCACGTTAAGATATATTTTTGTGAGCTATATGTTTGTGAACGAAAGATTATCAGAACAGCATAACTTTGCATGTAGTTGGCAACAGACATGCATTTTGAGGAAAAAGGAGGAACACCCATGATTTTCAGCCATGACTCAATGAGCCAAACTTTTCGGTTCGTGAGCCAAATTTGGCTCATGAGCCATATATTCCCGACCCCTGCCTTAGGAGATTCAGAAACGTTAAGCCTTGGCCCAACCCACAGACTATCTTCAGGTCAGGTCTTGTCGTATCTTCTTTCGTTAATAAAATGTAATCCTTGACTCATAGGGCCAATTAGGCCAATAAAATTCTATCCCATTATCTTGGAGAAATCTCGTTCAGAACGTATAGCCTTAGGCCTATTTCAGGCCTATTCAAACTCTCAGGAACCATTTCAGAGAGAACGTATGACACTATATTGATTAGAGGACTTTTTCTGAGTTTTATTAACCACATCAGTGCGGACGTGGAACGTTATGCCTATCTGGAGTTCCGCTATCCATATCGACTAGTTCCGAGGGGGAAATGTCTCCAGGAAGCACGAAATGCAATTTTGGCGCCATCATATATATTCAGGAATGTCCGGATGAGGAATCTCCATATCCCCATCGATCGGCCACTGCTAGCCGCCGTTTCATCCTCAGCACATCCCATGAACTCAGCCCAAAATTTGCATACATAAAAAAGAAGATTCAGATACCGATACGGAAGCCAAAGCAGTCATGAATCTGACATAACTGCGGCACGATATCAGGCAACACTGTGAGACAGGACCAGAGCCAACACGCCTAGCCTAAATGAATAACAGCTAACATTTTTATGGCAAAATTGCAAACAAAAATAGCACTTTCCCTCACCTATAAGTCTACATCTTTCTTAGGGTTGGTGTTTTTCCTCCCAATACTCTCAATCCTCAAGGATTGGGGAAGAGAAAAAAGTTTCGGAATGAAATTCACACCTCCTAAAGCCAAGAAATTCTGTGTTCTCCACAACCCCGGAGGGGTGCAGCTTAAAAATTACTGGAGAGTTTTGTGCTGAAAGATGGAGTATTTTCGATTTTGTTCCTGTTGATCCTATCAGAGAGGAATGCGAGGAGGCTGAATTTCTTTACGGGATGGGGTTGAAGGGAATGAACAGTTTTACTTTATTCACCACATATAACGCTCGACTTCTCACATACCCCATCATAACAATAGCTCGATATACAGGGTGTTCGAAAAGTCACTGTGCAGTAGAATTCATTTATTTTCTTGCATGTATTTAGTATTGTACTGCGCATCACATGTATTGCATAAAGACATGAATTTACACTCAATACTTCATCAAATATTAGCACCATCCCCGATTCACATAATTTATTGTCTGTAATGTCCTACGTCATGTCGTGAATTCTACTTCACAGTGACTTTTCGAACACCCTGTATCATTTTTCATTCTAATATGTTCTTCCTCAGTGCATCTTAAGGCAGTGGTTCCCAAACTTTTTTTAGTCACGATTCAAAATTCAACATCAAACCCTGGGTCGCTACCCTGGGTTTGGGAACCCATGTCTTAAGGTATCTTTTGTCATTCTTCTTTCGAAGCTTTCGGTAGGCCTTGCATCCGCTTTGGCCACCTTTTTCTAGGCATCTCTTGAGAACGTTACGCCCACATAAAACCATGGGTGACACCATTGGGAGACTTGATAGGGATTTTTGTAAATGGAATGGCACAACTTTTGGCCATTACCTTCACCTTCTAGAGGACATATCTTTTTGACACAGTGATGTGGTTACAGGATTTATCTTGATGCACATCAATGAGAGTGGTGGCAATATCATGAAGCCAGAGGATATCCTATTCTAGTGGTTCCCAAACTTCTTCAGGCGAGGGCCTCAAGGGCACTTTCGCCCACCTAAAGTGGGCCGCACTAATAATGTTTATCAACCTGGAGAGGGCCATAATGAAACAGATTCAACATTTCTGTTGGATGGAAACCCTTTATATGGCCATCGACCTCTTGATCGGGCGATTCTAAATTAGGTGGTCTCCGTAAAAAATGAGCGGCAATAGAAAACTGCTTATTCCTGCCGCATCCAGAGGCACGCCAGTTGTAGTCACGGAAATTGCCACTATTTTAAGCCAAGGTCATGTAAACGCATTCGGGATACTTTGTTATTAGTTATATTTTCGATAAGCACCATTTTTTCCGCCCATAACTTCATTTACTTGGGAGGGAAACATTTTTTCTCTGCAGTAAATGAATGCTCTGAATTGTAAGCAAATTATTCAGGTGCACACCGAAGTGCATAAGCAACCAAGTGTGAACATGTATTACAGGTAGCTGATTATCTAAAATATTACTAAATTTGCTTGTTTTCAGTGTAGGATTCCAAACCTGGAATTAAAACATGTGTTCACCGCGATTATTCATGAATGTAGATAAAGCGGTTAAATATGAAAACCCCATTATTTGGGTTGCATGAACCCATTAAGTGGGCCGCATGCGACCTGCGGGCAGCACTTTGAATACCGTTGTCCTACTCGAACAGGGTTCAAGTCATGATCTAAATGAAATTGAAAGTTCATTTTCACTTCTGTAGTACTTTTCTCAGGGTAATTTTGCCATCATGACAATAACCAGCAACGACAATGAAACTTCATGAAAATTTTCCAATGCATTCTCGGGACCACTTCCGAAAGTATTTTTTATCCCTAGGAACGTATTGAATCCAGGCTTCATCCAATGCCACGACGCACTTCAAATTTTCTCGAGAAAGATGGCGTTCATAGAGCTTCCGGGCATTGGTTTTTTGTCCGTGAATGGGACGAAGAAGTGTGTGGACGTACCATTGGATAACTTCCACAGTCCTATATATCTGTTGATAATACGATTGCTAGTTTCAAACGACACTCCAACTTTCTTGGTCATGAACCATTTCTTGAGTTTGTGGATCCATTTCGATTGCTGTATGTTGGACTTTGATGAGGGTCTCGATGCACTTCCAAAGTGGCTCAGGCACTTTTGCATTTTGGCTCTTTGGTCAAACCCCAGTGCGAGTTTTCCCAACCTGCTTGAAATCATTGTGGAGTCTCCTCATTGAAACACGGAATGGCATTCACCATCCACTGCATTACAAAAGCAAAACTTGAATAGTTAATGTCGGGAAGTGCAGCGATATCCTTCCTACCAAATATCGATATTTGGAAACATTTTGACTCGGTTGATCGAAGTAACTTACCCTCTAGAAACATACATATTCTGGCTGTAGGACTCTAGACAAAAAAAACATATTTCCGCGACGGGTAAAATGCAATGTGAAAATTGCTACCATTGGAACCAAACAACATACTATGAAGGCAGATGTATTTGCGGTTGCATATCCCGCTTTTCCATAGGTATTTGAAACCTGCAGTGTTCCCTTCTTTTTCGTTTCCACGTGAATCCCTTTTGAAGTTCCTGTCAAGAAACATGTGGGAAATAATTTAGAAGCTAACTTCTGTTCTCACCATATTATATTTCCTCCAGGATTTTTCGAAGGTTTTTTTTTAACATTCTAAGTCTTCTTTAGTATATGTTCGGCAGCATGGGATTGATATGAAATGTATTTCACAATTTTTAAAGGATCATTTCCATGTATGGTTTCGGGGAGAAAAAGAGGCCTTTAAATCTCGGAGCGCGCGAGCTCTTTTCTGAAGTTAAATCATAATATTTAAAAAATTACTAGAGTAGAATGCAAAGGAAAATGATTTTTTTTTTAAGTTTAGGCTTCCTCCGGGAGGAAAACACGCATGGCCCTGATATACGAGAAGCTAATTGTGAACAAGTCAGAAAACATGTTTGCTGTATATGACGATGGCATGAAGAGAACCCTCAAGGAACCAAATTATGCGTTTGTTGGGCCAACTGAAACCGTGTCTTTCTTCAACTACACATGCTCCCTGGTGCCCGTCCCCGGAGACGTCTCGCACGAACTCCTTTCAATCGCCTTCACAAAGGACTCCATTTATACCAACATTTTCAATCATTTGTGAGTTCTTTCGTTTCGATAATCCGCCATTGCGCAACAGTGTTGAATCATCTTTCCTCTTTTTTTTACGACAGCATCGCAAGGCTTCATGAGAATGGTATCCTGACGAGGATCAAGAAACGATGGATCACAGAGATGGGAAAGGAGTGCTTGGACTCATACGATTACAAAGAAGCCACATTCTTCGATATTATTTCCCTCATTGTGTTCCTATTCCTGTCATTCATCGTTGCCTGCACAATACTCGTTCTTGAGCGTTTTCATCACTCCCAGCGAATGTTATGAATGGATGGACTTTCCTTTTGCAGTAATGGTCGGGATTGGAATTATTTTATAGACCCCAGGATATTCAGAAAGGAGATTGTGAGGGGGACACAGCACATACATCACACGGCACAGAATCATGATTGGAGTAGACCTAAGTAATGTTCAATGGTTGAAGAACCCATAGCCCAGTTTAATTTATTTTTCTCTCAGTAGTCGTTTTTGAGCGAAAATAGAGGGTTTTGCACCCTCTATTTTCTCAAAATAAACTTGTTTCTCAGCCACAAGTTTTGGTGCCGTTTGACTTCGTTTTGAGAGCCCTTTCAATGACCAAATTTTGATGAAAATCTGAAATTATCACTTAGGTAGTGTTCCTTGTTTGCGGCACCCGATTATTGATTGGCGCAGATCACTGAATGCGCATCGCGTTTCTACCAACCGGCTGTATGTTCTCTTTTTCTCATTCATCGCTTTTCGAATTTGAAATGGTCTTTTCAATTCATGATTCATTCATTCATTCGTTATTTATTTGTCAGGTGTGCTCTTGATCATAATAAAATTAGCAGGGCGGCAACACTTTCGAGCTTCTTTAGGTTTGTTTTAAAAATTGTAATGTTCAGTTTGAACCCAACTGCTTCATGTCTTTATGTAAACTGTTTCAAATTTCCGCCCATTAGACGGCCAACGTAGCGGCCGCAGGCCGCAAGTGACCATCTAATTTGTGCACGTAATACCATCATTTCATCACAATATAACATTCTTCACAAAAACAACTACTTCTGAATCCATGAGGGACTATAGTTCCTATCCACTCAACGTCACTTTCAGCACCTATCTTACATTGGGAGTGAAAGTGAAACTGGGAGTCAACCTTACCTCCCCTTTTAAAAGGTCGGGCAGACGTAGTTATCAGTCACAAAATCAACGTTTGGAAAGTTGCCCTTGTGTACTCTCGTCCCTGTTTATCGAGATGAGATATTGGGGAAATTTAGCAACTATCTATCAATGATAATGATGATAATGGTAATGATAATGATAATGATGTCTTGGGGACGAACATCCATTTGAACACCTTGTGTTTATTCTTATTAGGAATAGTCACATGACCATGACACGTCCAATCTACACTCAGTCATCGTTTTTGTTTAATAATCATCGACTTGATTTTGGTTTTATGATTGGATTCTTATAAATAATTCGTATTAGGATAAGGGAACTACTTTAAAGGGGGTAGCATTGAACAGATGAGAATGAGCTTCCTAGCAATCCAAAGGCTAACTATTCCAAATTCAATATTTCAACAAAATTTGGAGACAAGACAGGAAAGTGCGACACTGGAAAGTTACGGCAAAATTTGCATGAAGGGTCACAGTTATATGGTTCATTGTTAATGGAAAAAAATGGCCTTCATACCCAGTGGCGTAACGAGGGGGGGCTTCAGCCCCCCCAAGTTTAGTTCAAGCCCCCCCCCCCCCCCCAATT